ACGGTATCAAAAAATTGTCAATTATTAAAGTATTAATGATATTATGATAAACAATTTATCAGTTGACAAATTTTTTCTAGCTACAGTAGTTTTAGAGATATGCGTTTTTGAAGTTACCACATCGTAAGACGATGGTGAAAAGTGCGCGTTAACTTTAAAGGCGCATATCTCAGAAAATACTGTAGTTAGAAAAAATTTGTCAACGAATAAAAAATTAGTAATATTATGATCAACAATTTATCAGTTGACTACTTTTTGATATTTCTCACAGGAACCGAGATAATTGAGCTCAAAGATGATGGTTCGGGTGGGCTTAGATGAAATGCATTTTTTTTCAATTTAGATTTTTCGAAATTTCTGTTTTTTGGGTTGTTTGATTTTTTCCAGGAATTTCTCAGTTTCTAGGAATTTTAGTGTTCAGTTTCTTAAACTTTGAAAAAATTCCTAAATTCTCAAAACTCAAAAGTTCCAAAGATTTCAATTTCTTCGAAACCCCCAAAAATCCAAAAAACACTTCTCCAGGCGAACACATTGACTATCATGACTACGGTGTGTTCCCAATGGCCATCGACGCATCTACCGTGATCCTGGCCGCCCGAAATTCCACGAACAACATCGTTTTCTCGAATTTCGACCCGAAATACACCTCATGGGAATCCCCGATCCCATGTCCATGGCAAGGAAGCTCCTCTCCAAAATGGAGTGATTATCTTTTATGTGGATGGAAAGGAATTCTGGATTTCGAGAAATCCGAACAATTCGGAATCAGTTTTCTGCTCTACGGAACGATTCCACCATCATCTGGACTCTCGTCCAGCTCGTCTCTTGTCTGCGTCTCCGCACTTGCCACGTTGTGCCTGATTGTGCAGGGAGATCCATTCCAGCATATTTCCAGGTATGGTGTAGTCGGCAAAGGTTGTGGAGGATCAGTAATTAGAGATTCTGGTAAAGGAATCAAAGTTCTAAGACGTCTGGGACCCGAGATACAGCTATGTGAAACTTTTAGAGACGCAGGCTGCCTGCGTTTGTCCAAACTTTGAAAGATCATATCTCGACTCCTAGATGAGTTAGAGACTTGTTTTTTAGACCAAAATGTTTAGAATTTCTCATTCCGCATTTATATCTGAAAATCAGCGTTATAGGTCGTCTGAGACCCGAGATATAGGTATATGAAACTTTTAGAGACGCAGACAACGAGACACTCTAACTGTCTGCCTCTCTTCAAACTTTGAGGGACCATATCTCGACTCCTAGATGAGCTAGAGACTCGATTTTTGAACCAAAATGTCAGAGATTCTATATCTATGCTACCGTAGTAAAACCTAATTTTTGACATTTACGATTTTTGCTTTATGTTCTGAAATTTTGTTCAAAACATTTAGCTCCATAATTTCTACACGTTTTTAGCTAAAAATCACTTTTCTAGCTCATCTAGAAGCCAAGATATAATCCTTTGAAGTTTAAGAGGTGAGAGACGCAGACAACGAGGCACTCTAACTGACTACGTCTCTTCAAACTTTGCGAGACCATATCTCGGCTCCTAGATGACCCCACATAATCGCGGAGTATGGTATTTGCCTAGGCGCGCATAGGATGCTGTGTGCGTCCATAATAATTCCGTGGGTAGCGCGTGCGCGCTATATGCGTCGACTCTTGGTACGACTGGTCGCACCCATATATGTAGCATCCATATCGGATGCACGCTTTTCCCATGAAAACGACAGCCCACCAACGACACTCCGCTATTATGCTAGTGCGCGTTGTTTAATTCTTCACCGCCAATCTTGATCAATTTTTCGATCATATCGATCATTTTTCCTGTCTTCAAAGAACTTCTCACTGTTTTCACATTTAAAAAATTATGGCTGATAAAAATACAACTTATTTTTAGTAAAGAAATTGGTAAAAGTTTTTAAAAAATCCGTTTTTTCTTGAAATTGGGATTTTTCTATTTTACTTCGGAATATGCGGAATAACACATTTTCAGGTGGAATGAAGGTTTGTTGGTGTTAAATCGAGATATTTTAAATTTTCAGCCATATTTTTTAATGTGAGAGCATTCTGTGAAAACAAGAAAAAGGTCTCTGTGGAATCTGAAGAGAAAAATGAACCATATTGGAAGATCAGAACAAAATCACATCTTATTACAACTAGGCGCCGCAATGAAAGGGGGCGGGGCGACCAAAATTTTCTCCCCTTTTCAGAAACCCATCTTTGATGTCTTGTACCTATAGGTAGATGATCTAATCTGAGAAACTATACGTTTCTCTTTTTTTTACGAGATAAGTATAGTTACATAACAGATATCCATCGCTAAATCGACCTGAAATTGTGGACGAAATATGAACGCAATATGCCTTTCAATCGCGCGTGCGCGCATATAGCGAAGACATAGCGCGCGACCGGTGTACCCATGTCGTCCATATGCGGCGCCGCGCTAACACATATACCATGCCCAGCGATTACCCTGTGCCATAGACATGATTTTAGGACCAAAACGTTTGGGATTCCCAATCACACATTTTGCACAAACCTCGTTTTTTAGGCTACGTTTGAAGCGAGATATAAGCATCTAGAAATGTGAGAGACGCAGACAACGAGACACTCTAACTGTATGCGTCTCTTCAATCTTTGAGAGACCATATCTCGGCTCCTAGATGAGCTAGAGACTTGATTTTTGAACCAAACCATTTGAGATTCTAGACTCGTCATTCTGAAAACTTAGACAATTAAATTTTTCAGAGAGAACTTTGCCCATTTGTGTGCCAAAAGTGAGCCACTCATCGGAACACTCAGCGGTGGAATGGATCAAGCCGCCGAAGTGTTGGCATCCGAAGGCACTGCCCTTCGAATCGATTTCAATCCTTTGCGATCGAAAAACATTGAACTACCAGAGAATGCGGTTTTTGTAGTTGTTCACTCGAATACCGAGCTGAATAAGGGAGCCACGTCGCATTACAATGAGAGGGTCATCGAGGGACGAATCGTCGCGCAGGTAGGTCAATTTTTTTGTTTCGGTGGAGCGCTCATGCTTCAAATTGAAAATTTGAAAATTTTGTACTTTACAATCGCGCTCTGCTGAACAGACCAACTCGCAGTTGACAAATGCGCTCCACAGATAATATTTTTTACAGATTCTGAAACGCGAATTCTCTCTATCCACCCCATCGTTCCGTTTGAAGGATATTCAAACATTGTCAGGAAAATCGTTTGAGGAAATTCTGAAAATTGTGGAGGAGATTATTCCAGAAGAGCTGACAAAGGATCAAGTGATCGAATTGATTGGAAATGATAAATTGGAAGAGTGTTTGACAGAAAACACAAGGAAATGTGAGTATTTTAGATGGCCTAGGTTTCTATTTAATAGGCCATCATCTGAAATTTTCCCTCGGGAGCCTAGATATAGAATCCCAAACATTTTGGTCCAAAAATCAAGTCTCTAGCTCATCTAGGAGCTGAGATATGGTCTCACAAAGAGACGCAGACAGTTAGAGAAAACCTCGTTGTCTGCATCTCTCGTCTCTTAAACTACAAATGGCTATATCTCGGCTTCTAGATGAGCTAGAAATGTGCTTTATAGCTTAAATTGTGTAGAAATTATAAATAAACCAGTCGGTTTACGCCCCCTGTCGGGGGCTCAACCTCCTGGCTTCCGCTTGCTGTACCTTACAATTGAGTTTCTAATTTTAACATTTTTGAGTTTCCGAATTCACCAAAATTTGTGAAAGTTTTGCATACTATTATCCTTGTCTGAGAAAAAAAGGTTGAGACGCAGAGAAAAAGTGTCTGTGTCTCCACCTTATGTGTGCTATTTAGGCTCTCCGCTTCGATATCGCTACCGTATTCAGACTGCAAAAAATACTCTCTAACCTTTTTTTTTCTCAGACAAGCATAATATAAATTTTCTTTGCGGAATATTTGATTTCCCAAATTTTTATAAATTTCCAATACTGAAAAAATATTTTTATGTTCTGAAATCCGGAGTATGTGAATTCCCGGTTTTCTGAAGCTTCACATTTTGGATAACTAAATGTCCTGGTTTACTGAAATTTCTGGTCTCCGAAGATTCTGAAATCCGAAATATTCGAATTTTGAAAAACAGTCGGCTTGCGCCCATCCGGGCTGAACCTCGCTAACAGGAGCCAGGTTTTGTCTTTTTTACAGGGACTATTTTTTCATGGTCTATTAGGAAATTTCGAATTGCGATATTTCGGTTATTCAGAATTTCGGAAAGTCAGAAGTAAGGATATCCGGAAATTGGGAAAGTAAGACACTTGGAAGTTCAGAGATTAGTAAATTTTTAAAAATCAGATGTACGAAAACATTAGTTTTGAAATCTAGAAAATTGTTTGAATCTGTTTGTCTCAAATATCGAAATTTGGTATATCAGATTTTAAAGGAGGGGAGACATCAAAATTTTCAAAAGTTTTATTTTTTCTCAAAAGAGGTAAGTCTAAAGTATAAGTATAGTTTTGTAATTAAAAACCAGAAAAAAAAACACTACACCGACGAAAAAATGCTTTTTTTTCTGACCGTAATTTCCTCACTCGTTTGCTGCAGCGGCGTCGCTTCATAAGACAAATCAACGCGGTCGTCGCCTCTCACACGCGTGGTGTAGTGGGTACGCTCTATGGTAGCATTCAGAAGGTCGGAGGTTCAGTCCCCGCTGATGGTTCCCCTTTTTTCTTAGCTTGTATCTTTTGGATTCAACGTTTGGAACTCAAAATTTTTGGAATGGGAATTTTCGGAACGTCAGCGTGCCGTCAAAGCCTATCTACGAAATAAGAAACACTGTTGAAAATAATATATGCAGTTTATTATGTCAACAAATAAATTATGCAAAAAATACATTAAATATTTAGTAAGAACACAAAAAATTCAAAAAATCGTAAAATGATAATTTTTTTCCTTCCGAGATTTTCGTCGCAAGGCGAAGTGAGCAGAAGATGTGAAGGCGTTGCTGAAAACCTCATTCATGAAGCATACTGTATTGTTTTCATTTTCGGAGTAATAATGAGACGAAAAAATACCAGTTGAAAGAAAGACGAAACGGCAATCGGAGAAAAATTTTTTTTTTGCATATTTAAAAAAAAACCGGCCACTGACAAAATAATCATTCGACTGAACCGGAAATTTACGAAAAAAATCTATTTTATATGGTTTTTACAATAAATTACAAAAAAACCGTTTTTTAAATTGTAAATTCGTTTAAAATTTGGAAAAATGAAGTAGGAAAATAAAAAAATAAAAAAAAGTTTGCGCGTCGGATTGCGTGCTTTAGGTGCGAACACCGCGACGGCAAATCACACGTTCCCTGAAATTTTCCCCGAAAATTTTGCTGTCTGGCCTCCTTTAAAGAATTGAAAAATTTCGAAATTCGCATACTTACTAAATGCCGGGCTGGCCTGAGACGGCCCTGTCCGCAAAATGTATAGAATTTCGAAAAAGTTTAGAAAATCTAGAATTTGAGAACCTGAAAAATTGGAAATTCAGAAATTCAACTTTTCGAAAAACATTCTAGTCGAAAAGTATTGGAACTTTGAAAAATCAGAAATTTAGATTTGAGAATTCGAAAATTTAGAAACTCCGAGATTTGAAAACCTGAAAAGTTGGAAAATCTTAACGTTTGAAATTTTTTGGCAAATTCGGTGAATAAGATCTCAGAAATGTATATATTCCGAAGTTTGAAAATTATGAAATTAAGTTCGGAAATTTTGAAAATTATTCTGAATTCTGAAAATTCGAGTGATCCAGAAAGGGCGCTGTTATTTTTCCTCGCATTCTCTTTCTTTCCTTTTATTCACTTTCTCTTCCACCTTTCAGAATTTTTTCTCCCTTTCAAATCTTTAAAACCCATGCCAAAAGAATATTTCTAGAAAATCACGTTTCTCTCAGAAATAGCGTGGATAAGAAAAAAATTTAGGCGGTTAGACGGGAATGACGTGAATATTTCTTCAATATTTTTCTAAAAATTTGCACTGTAGAAATAGAAGAACGTCTTCAGAAGACATCAGAAACAAAATTTAGAAGTATAAAATACTCGGGCATCATCTCGCTGCTATTTCGGGTCATCTGTGAAAATTTGAGAAATTTTGGTCCATTCTGGACTTCGATAGGGCAGGTGACCCGGGAACACCGGACACACACACACATACACACTCACACACAGAATTTGGTGATTGTTAATAGTAAAGATAGTAAAGAAGTTTGAAGGGGCGCAGACAGTTAGAAACTCGTTGCCTGCGCCTCTCGCATCTTTAGGTAATTATATCTTGGCTCCGAAATGTCCTAGAAAATTTTTTTTTCAGCGGAATATGTGATTGGAAATTTTGAAATTTTAGGTCTAAAAATCAAGTCTCTCACTTATCTAGGAGCCGAGATATGATCTCTCAAAGATTGAAGAAACGCAGACAGTTAGAGTGTCTCGTTGTCTGCGTCTCAAAACGTTTCAGCTAGCTATATCTCGGGCCCTAGACATCCTAGAACGCTGATTTTTGAATAGAAAGAACGGATTAGTAAATTTACACATTTCTGGAAAAATCGCTTCTCTAGAAGCATCAGGAAGCAAGTTTTAGCTATTTGAAGTTAAGAGCGACGCAGACAGTTAGAGTGTCTCATTGTCTGCGTCTCGTAAACTATGATTTGAAAGCTCTTTTCTTGCGATACTTCAAACAGTTTTCAGAATTCCAAAATATTGGTTTTGAAGCGAATTATACACATCTTAGTCTGCTGACCTAGAAAACTAAATTTCCAGAAAACTAGGCCGTGGTGTGCATGATATCAAAGCGTATGATTCAGTGATTCAAAATCAGTTTTCAGACTTTGAAAATGCCGATTTTGAGCTGAGTTATGAGAATAATTTGTTTGGTGGCCTAGAAATCCAAACCCAGGCCATATTTTTTCAAATATTTGAAATTGTCATAACTTGGTTCAAAATCAACATTTTTGAAATCTGAAAATTGTTCTGAAACCATCAAATCTTTGTCTATGAATTTATAAACGTTCCAGTCACCAACTTCAAACTTCGCTCCCGCGCTCGCCACGTCTTCAGTGAGGCGCATCGTGTGGAACTATTCGAATCGGCGTGTGAATCGAAAGACATCAAACAGATGGGCGTCCTGATGAATGCCAGCCATCGAAGCTGTGCAATCGATTACGAGTGTAGCTGTGAAGAGTTGGACGCAATTTGTGAGCTCTATACAAAGCACGGAGCTCTCGGAGCCCGTCTAACTGGAGCCGGATGGGGTGGATGTGCTGTGGTGTTGATGGCGGCTGATGACGTGGCGAACATTGAGAAGCTTCCGTCGCTTTTCGTGTCGAAACCTGGTCAAGGGATTCGCGTTCATCGTTTTTGAACTTTTTTCTTTGTAAATTTATTAAATTTATGTGATTTATTTGATATCTGGGATACTGTAAAATGTGAATAAATGCTACAGGGAAGGTTTTTTTATGGTCAAATTCAAAAAAAAGAAAAAAACAAAAGTTGCCACCTATGAGACTCAACCTGCACATTGCGGGACAACACAGGTCCTGGGCGATGATGCGCATAAAGCACCCGATCCATATGCGATCCTCTAGAAGTCCGTTTGACACATATCGCGAACAACGAGCTGCGATGAGTCTCATATGTGTGCGATGCGGGAGAGGCTGAATCGAGTGTTCCGAATGCGCGCGTATCCTAGATGGATTCTGGGTGGGTGGGCGATGTGTGCGATATGGGTCTGATACGGTAGGCCGACTACAACACTCCGAAATCCCGGATGCGCCCATTGTTTACCGTAAATCCACACCGGCAACTTTGTCAATTTTTCGTCAATTCGAGCCTACATTTCTGGTTTTTCGATTATTCCTTCGATGTTTTTTGTGAAAAAGAGTTATGGCAGAATAAAAAATCGCTGAATTCTTGCAGAAACATGTCTTTCACTCGTTAATTGCTATGTTTTTCGCCAAAATAGGTGATATTGAGATTTTTTTTTGATTTCACTTTGTAATTATTGTAAAAATCGTATTTTCAGGTGGAGTAAAAGGTAAGTTGGTAAGTATACAATAATTACAAAGTTTAAATTATAAAAATTTTCAATTTTTCATGCAATTTCAAAAAAGTGAAAGTGAGACATTTTTTGAACAAATGAAAAAAAAAACAATTTTTAGCGAATTTTTTCCCATTTTGTTCTGTTTTTGATTGCATATCAAATTTAAATGGAAACTGCCATAAGTCTTTTTCAAAACCAAAACATTGAGTTTCGAAAAATCAGTAATATGTCGTTCAAAATATAAAAAAATATGGAATAATAAAGGAAAAGTACGAAATCGGAAGACCTGAACAAAATCACATCACAATAGAACTTAACTGATACTTCTAGGAACCCCCAACCAACGTTTTAGTTCATTTCATCGAGTGCCAGCAAGCCAGGCGAGGAGATGCTTTGCGGCGGCGGTGTGCCCCATATGCCCCGTATATGCCCCATACCGGTGCCCTTTCCCTGTACCCAATTCATCGGCGCGTCCTCCGTCGCCCATCCATTATGCGTATGCGCGCCCAGGACCTGTGAAAAGCCTAGCGCGCTAGCCTCTACACTACGCGGGCACCAAGGCGACGAAGGTGGAGAAGTCGTATACGATATGCTGGCTTTTCGGCTCTCCCAAGGAGTCGGAAAGAAATCTGGAAATTTTCAAAAAACCAAAAAAAGAAATTTTAACAATTCTCGAACAATTTTTATTATCGCATTTCGTTGTGATGGTATTATGGTGGATGATGTGGATTTTGCAGGAAGTTGAGAAGGCGTTGTGAAAGAACGAAAAATCAAACGATAATTTTCCAGACAAATTTAAGTACATGTTTTGTGAATCTACAAAGTGTTGAGGCCAAGAAAAGGCGGGAAGTTTGAAAATTTCAAATTTCCCACCCAAAAATAATCACAAGGATGTTATTGAGGAAAGAGCTATGACAAAAACTAGCGAGTGTGCGAGACTTATTAGGCTCCGCCCACTTAATTATACAGATAATCACAGAAAATTGGGGGTCAAGGAAAGTCGAAATCTGAGTGAGAGAGAGAGAGAGAAGTGGTAGCACCTACAATTATTTTTTTGTCGTTGTATTTAAAATGTTTGGCTCCGCCTCCAAAAGGGGCGGAGCCTATAGCGGACATATATGGGTTTTTTTTCTGGAACGGGGAGAAAAACTCGTTGTCATTGGGAAAACAGAAAAATGGGTAGAGAGAGGGTTTAAATTTTTTAAAAGTTTTTTTTTTAATTATTTGAGCCGTTGAGTGATACTGGCCAGGGCTACGGCAAACGCTTGAGCCGCTGAGAATGGATATCGGAAGTCGAGTGTATAGGCGCCGCCTTCGATTCTGCCAAATTGCAGAACTTGTTTTGTGTCCAGCTCGATCTGAAATTTTTTTTTTTTTTAAATGTTAAAAATTGGATGAAAACTGAAGAAGTTATCACCTGTTTTAGTTGATTTGCATTAGAGCGCGTTTTCACTAGGTAGATCAAATTTTCATAAAAAGTAATAAACTACATATTTATAGATTGTGAAATTTCCAACATTTTGGTATTTAAATCATAAAAATCATGCAAAAACTACAAGAGTTATGAATCTTCCAAAATTGCTTTATGGTCTAATATGTCAAAAACGACGCAACTGCAATTAGAGCGCTTTTTCATTGCTTAGATCAAAGTTTCGTTAAAAGTAACTTATTACAACTCTGTAGCTCATAATTTTTTACACATTTTCATATAAAAATCAAAAGAATCAAGTAAAAACTGCAAGAGTTATGAATCATCCAAAATCGCTTTGAATTCAAATGTTACAAAAATGACACAACTCTCGTTAGAGCGCATTTTCACTAGGCAGATTTAATTTTCATAAAAAGTATTACACTACAAAATTGTAGATCATAAAATTTCCTACATTTTGGTTTAAAAACCAACAACATAGAATAAAAATTTCAAAAGTTATGAGTGATCCAAAAAACGAACCTGGAAATTTTTTGCCGATTCCTGAGTGACTCTTCCGCCAAAATCCAACTGATACACTTGATTTTGCTCGTTCCAAAACGGCGTCTTGTTGGTCATCGTCTCGATTTTACAATTCGAATTCGGATGTTTTCCACTCTTCGGTACGCCCTCGCCAAGCGCTTTTTTCATTTCTTTCAGCGTTGCCAATAGCTGACGAACTTCAGTTTTCACATCGCCAGCCGTCACTTTTTGCTCGATATCGTTCACTCGCTTCAGCAGATTTTTCATCTGGGCTCGCATTTCTTTAACGTCTCGTTTGTCGCGTTTCTGGAAAAATTTGGGAATTAAAGGTGCTAAAATTTGTCACATTTTGGTCTAAAAATCATGAAAGTCGGTGTAATCGTATTAGAGCGTATTTTCGCAAAGTAGATCAATCTTCGGTTCAAAGTAACTAATTACAAATTTTTTGCTCATTAAATTTCCTGCATTTTGGTATAAACACCATTGTTATAGATTCGAAAATTCAAAAGTTACAGGACATCTGAACTTTTATAGTCAACTACACAGTTGTCGTTGGAGCGCATTTTCATTAGGTAGATGAAACTTTAATGAAAAATGTTCAACAACAAATTTGTAGACTATAAATTTCTACACATTTTTATATAAAAATCTTGCAAAATCACTCACCACATCAAAATCCCCATGTCTCTTGCTGAGCTGTTCGGCAATCGACGCCAGCTTATCAACATTGGCTCGAATCACCTCCGCATCCTTCTTGCTCGCCTGCATCTCCATCGCCGCAAATCCACTCTTCAAGGCCGGTCGTTCCACTAAAAGGGTCCGATCGTCAGTCTGATCTCCATCGATAAAAGCCAAGGTTTCAATTTCCTCATGCCACGTGGAAGCAGAACTCGTCATACTAGTCACATCGTGCTTGGATGAAGACTCCAGTGTTCTGGTTGAGATTGGCGTTGTTTGAGTTGATGACGTGGATTCTCGAACGGCACGTGTTGAAGAAGACGTTGAAGGAAGGGGAAGAGGTTCTTCGGATTTTCCAAAATTTGACGAGTTGATTGCCGCGCGAAGCGAGAGGCATTCTAGAAGAATCTTCTCGAAGAATTGACGCTCTTCAGATGTCAACCCCTCGCCTCCAGATGACGTCATGTGAGTTGTCGTGGATTCTGTCATTTCTGGAAGTTTCCGTGTAGCTCCGGTTTTGTCTTTTTTTAGCACTGCCAAATCGATAGTCATCTGACGGGGTTGAAGATGTAGAACGGAGGTTTTGTAGATGACTTGACCCAAAAAGTTAGGGAGAAGATTGGGAGACAGTGAGGAGATGTTGAATCGGGTGCACCAGACATTTGAGTTCACTTGGATCAGACGGGTGTCCGGTTTCCGAGGACGACCGGGTCTGGAAATTTTTTTTTTGAAATTTTGGAATTCTTGAAATCCATCTTTGAGATTTCAGAAAACTCACAAAGTGGTCCATTGAATCGGTCTTGTTCGTCCGGTGTAGACAACTCTGAAAATATCTTTTTCAGTTCAAAGAATCAGCCATTTTGGAGCCCTCATAACTTTTGAACTTTCTTATCTAATGAAATGAATTTTACCTCAAAATTTGTAAATTTTCATGCTTTACAAAATTGTAGTTAAACTTTTTTCATCAAAAGATGAAAATGTGCTCTAACGATAGTTGTGTCATTTTTGAGATAAAGCGATTTTTTGTATTTTTTTTCAACGCCTATAACTTTTGTAATCGTTTATCAATTTTTATGATTTAAATACCAAAATGTGTGAAATTTTATGGCCTACAAATTGGTTATAAAATATCAAACATAAAAATTTGATCTACTTAGTAAAAATGCGCTCTATGCGATTACCCCCTGAAAAGCTATTGAAATTATACTCATACATATTATGCCTGAATGTTTGAAGTGTTTCGAATTTCAAAATCCCACATTTATGTCTGTGTGTATGTGTGTCTGTTTGTCCAATGCCATTTTTAATCCCTAAAAACTTTATTTTCTTCCTTTTTTCCTCATATAATTTTTCCTTATGTAATTTGCCGATTTCCGCCCACTGGTTCTTTTTTCTGCCTGACGCAAATAGACCTTATGTAACAAACAACATATATATACTCACGGTGTCTCTAAAGAAGAAAGGTTCGAAAATAATACAAAAAAAAGAGAGAGAGAGAGAGAGAGAGAGAGAGAGAGAGAGAGAGGGAGAGAGAACCGGTTTCTTGTATATATTTCCCTGTGTGGGTGGGTGGCGAAAGACGACATGGGAAATGACGTCATCAGAAAAGTTATATATTTTTGAATCTTTTAGATTTGTAGATCAAAAAATTCCACACATTTTGCTATGAAAATCAAAAAAATCGGAAAAGAATTAGAGGAGTTATTGTCGGATTAAAAAAAGTGACACCTGAAAATCTCGGAGACGACGCTCGTGTCGATTTACAAGAAGGCGGAGCGAAAACGGATACTGTGGATAACAAATTTATTCATGTGAATTTAGTGGGATTTTCTGAACAAAATATTGATTTCTTGGTATAAAAATGATCGCTAGCATCTCTAGAATCTATTTTTCAGCAAAAAAAACTAAATTTAAACGCGAAAGTAGCTCGAACGAGTCAAAAATCTGAAATATTACGTTTTTGCCGCGCTTTTTCGTAGATCAAAAAAAAAAAGCAAAAGTTTTCAAATTCTCAGGTCCCAGTTTTTTTTAATTTGACAATATGGGCCAATTTCCATTATTGAGGTGCAATCTCATTAGAGCGCATTTTCACTAAGTAGATCAATTTTTTGCTTTCAATAACTGTGAATTTGTAGTTCATAAAATTCCCCAAATTTTGGTATCAAAACCATAAAAAGAGTAAAAATTACAAAACTTGAACCTTTCAAAACGGCTTTTAGCTTAATTAGTCAAAAATTACACAACTATCATTAAAGCGCATTTTCACTAGGTAGATCAAATTTTTGTAAACAATATTTAACTACAATCTTGTAGCTCATAAAATTTTACATATTTTGATGTAGTTAAAAATTTGAATTCACAAATCTCACCTCGTCATCAATGCTCGAATCTGCCGTTTACTCCTCCGCCACAACGAATTCCGATTGGTCGATGGGATAATTGTACCGTTGACGTCTTCTGAAGTTTAAAAAACTTATAAAAATTAATAAAATCAAAAAGTTCAATTTTCAAGGATCATTTTGATACTAAATTGGTCAAATTCGGATGGAAATTGAACAACAAAATAAATTATGAAAACAATTAACCCAATTTCTTGAAATTTTCTTTAAAATTATTTTTTAAAAACTCTGTAACTTTGTCAGTTTTCAAAATTTTTTTTTAACTCATTAAAAAGCTCTGGAAATGTACTTTCAGATAATTTATGTTTCAAAACTTCAAAATCAATTTTTTGATCTTTTAAATGAGGCCAAAAATGACTAACCAACTTGAGCGGATCCTCCAGGTCCGATATGAAACTTCAGCGTTGGATATGGGTCCCAGTGATGCATCGTAATTTGAAATTGAGGTAAAAACCGATTCACCTGCCTTCCAACCAACAACGGCACCAGACCGCCCATGTGCTCAAAACATAGCACATAGGTGTGACTGCCACGAGCCATCGGGCGGATGGTACAGTAGCAACGGGCATCGACGACACTGCAGACGTAGTCACAAATCTCTTCGGGACGCGGGATTCGACACTGAAAATTTGTAAATTTCAATTGAAAAAATAGGTATTGAAATTTCACACATTTCGGTATAAAAATCGTTAAAATCGGTTTAGAAATGGGAGAGTTATATGCCAAATTCCATTATTAAGGTGAATTCTCATAAGAGCACATTTTCACCACGGCGGTCAAACCTTCATAAAAAAGTGTATTACAGCAAATTTGTTGATTATAATATTTTACACTTTTTGATCTAAAAATCTTTCGAATTGGTTGAAAACTACAAAAGTTATAGGTCATCTCAATTTCTATACGTCAAAAATGACATACTGTCATTAGAGCGCATTTTCACTAGGTAGATCTAATTTTTGTGAAGAGTGTTTAAATAATAAATTGTAGATAATAAAATTCTGCACAATTTATGTACATTTTCAAAAAGTTCTAGCCAATATTCCAATAGTTAAGATTGTTCGAAAATTGGGTTGCTTCTTTTTTCCTTTTTCCTTGTTTTCCTTTCCCCTGAATTTATTCATTGCTCATTGTTATTCTGGAATTCTAGAAAAATCCAAAAGAAATAAAAAAATCTATTCGATACATAATCCGCCCACAAATCTCTCTAACGAATTCTATTCAAAAAAAATTGTGTTCAAGACATATTATCAGAGGATTATCTCTGATCCTTTTTGGGAAGGGACTACTGACGTAATCAAATCTTGGAAAAAATCTGGAACTTTCTCTGTGTCTTAAGAAATACAAGATTTAGAAAAATCTAGGAAAAAGAAATTGACGTCATCAGAATTTTAGGCCAAAAACCAACAAGAGTTTTGTAGGGTTTCATTAGAGCGCATTTTCACAGCTTAGATCAAATTTTCTTTAAAAGTGTATAACAGCAAAAATGAATGGCATAAATCTTCCCACATTTTGAAAAAAAAGTCTTCATAATTGAATAAAAATTAGGAGAGTTATGAGCCATCCAAAATCATACGCAGCTCTGGTTTCGACAGATATTTAGTTGTCATTAGGGCGCATTTTCACTAGGTAGATCAAATTTTAATTAAAAGAGGTAAACTACAAAATTAAAAGCTATAAAATTTCACAAATTTTGATTTTAAAAAATTCTTTGAAATTTAAGTAAAACTAATAAAGTTAGAAGTCGTCCAAAATGCACCTAAGTGATCAAATTGTAGTTAAAAGTCGAATGCTTCAAAAATTATGTGACGCTCAAGGTTGGCCTAAAAGACAGTGTTCTAGAAAACCAACACTCACCCGTACAACATGATGATCCAACTCTCTAACAGCATTCATCTCCTTCAACGGAATCGGCAACTTATCCACATCTTTCGCCGAGCTTCCCATCATTTTCCACATTCCATAAGTGACAAGTTCAAAGAGACTAGGAACACCAAAAAGGATTCGTCCACAGAACATGGTTCCACCAGCAGCCAGAATCACTACATTTCCCTGATGGGCCCATGTGAATGCCGATAGTTTTGGATTGCACATGGGCGGTGTGACCAGCGTCTTGTTGTGCCATTGCTCAATAGTCAGACGATCCTTATGAATAACTCGACAGTGGATGTCTAGAAAGACAAGTTCATCGTTGGAATTGATCACGGCAAGAATTGTTCCATCCGGATTCCATTGCATTTTATAAATATAGAATGGCGATCGATAGACATCCGAATTGATTTGATCGAATGCATTGATCATGATAATCTTGTTAGATGCAGTTAACATGGCCAATGTCCATTCTTCCTCTTTAGTTCCTGCATTTCTCAACGTTGAAAATGCCATTTGCATCAACTTGTCTTCTGTGAAACTTCGCTCTGTGATATTTGCACCCTGATTGGACAACACTTGAATCGTTCCGGAAGTGAATCCAAGAACGAGTTGCTTTGAATCCGGCGCCCATACTCCACAGGTAACATTTGAGGATCCGGGAAACGAATTGCTCCACACTCGCTGGCCGTTGGCACTTCCGATGAGCACGAAATTGTCTTCGTAACAGATTAAAGCACTTCCGCCACACGGACTCCATGCTAGATCAACAACTTTGACACCACGATCATTGACGAGTTCTACGGACCAACGATCGTCATTTCGAACCCAGACATAGATGATTCCAGAAGCATCACAAGAGGCAAGTTTGGAGTGAGCTTTGTTCCAGGTCACTATTCGGATCGTGTTGTGATGCCCGCGGAGATTGAAGTTGTATCTGAAAATAATCATAGTTTTAAAGATTCTGGTATAAAAATCATTAACTCATATTTCCTCTAATGGAAACCCACCCAACTTTGAGCTCAATTATCTCGGCCCCTGTAAAAGATACCAAAAGACTGTCAACTGATAAAATATTAATAAATCTATGATAAGTAATTTATGAATTAATCAACTTTTGTTATCTTTTACAGGGACCGAGATAATTGAGCTTAAAGTGTGCGTACAGGGGAGCAAATCCGATATTCAATTTTTCAAAGGGGTAATCTCCTTGTAGCGCAATTACTGCAGAAATTTCAAAAATTTTCAATTTGTTACTATTTATACAACTATAGTCCGAAAAAATTCCTACATTTTGGTATAAAAATCACTAAAATTCGTTGGAAGCCAAGCGAGTTATGAACAATTTTAGTTTCATCCGGCTCAATTATCATTAGGGCGCATTTACACTAGGTAGATCAAATTTTCAAAAGATGTGATTAACAGCAAATTTATTTAACATAAAATTTCCTACATTTTAATATTAAAACCATAACAATTGAGTGAAAATTACAAAAGTTTTGAGTGTTCAAAAATCGCTCCAAGTTCTGATATGTCAAAAATGACATAACTCTGGTTAGAGCGCATTTTCACTAGGTAGATCAAATTTTCGCTAAAATTGTTTTACTACAAGTTTGTAGATTATAAAATTTCCAACATTTTAGTGTAAAATTTATAGCAGTTTAGCCAAAAATTGAAAAGTTATGAATAATTAAACTCACAATCAGAACTAAATTTTTGGGAAAAAACTAAAATTTGAATTTTTTTACATAATCCTCTTAAACCAAGAAAACGGTCAAGACCACAAAGTACAATTATGGTCTGATATTTTGAACTTCACTACAGTAATTCATTTTTACAGTAGTGTTCTACAGTACTCCCAATTTTTCAAAATTTAGAAAAAACTCCTTCAAAAATATTTTTTCTACCAAAAAATTTTCCTTCCACTTCAAGTAATTTATACCTGTAAACAAGGTTAGCAATTGAAAATAACAAAATCTAGTTTTCGCTAAAAATTACTTCTAAAAATATTTTTGGTCAGATGAACCTAATTTGAAATTTGAAGTCATAAAGGCGGAAGAAACTCTGGAAATTCTAGAAATTTCCAAGAATAATGTATAGTGAATTATGAAAATCTTAAAAACAATGAAATTTCGAACAAGTTAGTGTAAACTTTAGAAAAAAGGCTCAAAATTGGAGAGCTTATGGCCTATTTAAGACCCCGTCAAGGGCATTCTCATTAGAGCGCATTTTCACCAGGTAGATCAAACTATTGGGAAAAGTGCTTAACCAAAAAATTGTAGCTTCTGGAATTTTCTCCATTTTGGCATAAAAATCTAATGAATCGGTAAAATATTATCCAAGTTATGAGCAAATTACCAAAAAATACGGTCAATTAAAATTGGATTTTCAGATTCCAATTTTTTTCAACAAATGATTACGATTCCTTTTAATCAGATTAATACTATCTCAAATTCTTTTTAATCTGATAACTTTCCAAAAAAAAATTCTCAATTCTAATCAAATTAGCATCAATCTACATCAAGGACGTTTCCTACATCAATGAGTCATGAGTCCGAATAAAATCAAAAATGTTTTTCCCCGTTTTTGTGACCAACAAATTTGGAAAAATACAATAAAAATTCCAATGTTTTGAAACAAAAACCTTGTAAACTGAAGAAAAACTTTAGGACTTATAAGTCTAACAATGTTTCCGGGGTACGTTCTCTTCAGAGCGCATTTTCATTAGGTAGATCAAATTTTCTGAAAAAGTGGTCAACTACAAAGTTGTAGGTTATAAAATTTCTTATATTTTGATATAAAAACTTATAAAAGAACTTTAAAACTAAAAGAGTTACAAGTAATCCAAAATCATGCCTAGATCTGGTAACCATAGTCTGGTTTCCACAAATCAAATGTTTTTATCTTTAGAGCTCATATTCATTAGGTAGATTGAGTTTTTGTGAACAATGTTCAACTACAAACTTGTAGATTATAAAATTTCACACATTTTGATATAAAAATTAATGAACTTACTTAAAAACTGAAAAAAGTTCTGAGTCATCCAAATTACACCAAGTCATAATTTCTAGAAAATTGGTATTGTTATCTTTAGAGCAGTTTTTCACCAGATAGATCAAGTATTCGTAAATACTGTTAAATTACAAAATTGAAGAACATAAAATTTCCAACATTTTGGTATGCGAATAATTAAAATTGAACCAAAACTACAAAAGTTATAATCAAAATGAATGACTCACCTGGTTAAATCATCAGGCGTCGGGCGAAAATCGGTAAAAGTGACACCAACAGATCCAGTCTCGGTGCCAACACCCAACATTCCATGATCGGGTTTGTCTGGCTGTTCGAGCCATGACAAATGGGTGATGGCCTGCTCGATGCGTGAGCCCTGCCAATCACTTTCCCATAGGATTTTCATTTAGTTGGGGGAATTTCATGAATCCTTCTTTTATCAGAAAGGACTTTTTTGGGATTTTTGAGATTTTTCAGCCCTGTCAAAAGTATCGATTTTTGAAAAGGGGGGGAAGATGGTGGAGGGAGAGGCTGGGGGTGACGGCGGGGGGAAAATGGATGGATGGGAGGACGGGGTAACACAGGCAACACAAGGGATACAAGAAGAGAAAGACGGGAGGGAAGGCGCCTCCTCTCTCGGGGAGAGAACGAGAAGTGAGAGAGTGTTCGAGAGAGGAGAGAGCGCCAGACAGTCAGACAAATATTAATTGGGTGCTTAAAAAGGGAAGAGGCAGTCGACGGAACAGCGAGAGGTATAATGGGTTTGATGGAGAGTGCCGAGAAAAGCCAGACGGGTGTGTTGAGGGGGGAGAGACGCAGAGATTTGTGTAAGTGTGTGTGTTCCGAATGTGTTTTCCCCTCGAGACCCTTTTCGATCCACACGATTCTTTTACGAACGTCATATTGAGCTTGCTTATAATTGTTTTCAACTTCTTAGTTTTGTGTTTTTTTGTTAATCTTCTAGAATGCTCTTTGGATTCAAGGGACTTTTTTTAATGGTATTTCGTAATATATGTGAAATGTGGAATCCTTTCTATTACCCGTTCCCCCGGTTTTCACACAAAATTACCGTATATTAAAGGCACAGAGGGTAATTTTTATTGTAATTTGATTTTGTGCCTTTGAAATAACTTTAAAAACTTTAAAGAAACTCAAATTTTTGTTTGATTGAAGTGTTTTTTTTTGCTCTGAAATCCATATAATCTTTTATTTTCAGTCGGATTTTTTCAAGAAAAACCCCCAAACATCAAAATTTTCAATAAATTACAAAAACTTTAAAGGCGCAGGCTATGAAGAATTTTTTGGATCATCGCCACGAAATACCATTTTTGCCGGTTTTTTTGAAATTTAGTCTTAAAATTTCTAAAAACCGGATTTTTTTTTCCTAAACGATTTTAAAACATTTTTTTGCTTTTAAATTCATGTTCTCTCATATTTTCAGTCGAATTTTCACAAGAAAAACACCCGAAAAATCATTTCTTCAAAAATTACAAAATTTTTAAAGGCGCACGTTCTTAAAAGTTGTTCGGAGTACCGCCACGAAAACTGATTTTGTCGATTTTTTGAATTTTTTCAGTTCGAAAATCTCATTTTTCCTTCAAAAAATAACTTTAAAAACCGGATTTTCTTCTATTGGTTTTGTCTAAAAAGCGAACGCATCATTATCACACCCTGCAAAACCCGTTCTTTTTGCTTGTTTCACAGTTTTCGTCTTATCAAAATCCGAAAAAAGAAAAAAGAATTCAATCGATAAGATAAGATATGACTCAATATATTTCTGTTCTGTTTACATTTCGTAACCCTTCTCGCTTCCCTTTTCTTCTGTGTTGAATAATAAAATAAATAAATATTTCTCCTCTTTTCCCTCTTTCTTTCAGCCTTTTTTATTACTTTTTTGACCCAAATCTATGAAAATTTTTTTTTAAAGTTCAGGGTAGAAAATCGATAATCGACATGTCGGACAATCCGTTTGCTGATCCGTTTGCGGTAGGCTTTGTGTCTTCAAATTTTGGTCTAAAATTAGATATTTTAGGGGCAGTTTTCTCTAAAAAAATCGTGTAAAATCCAAAATTTCGCCTAAAAGACTAATTTGCAGCTTATTTAGGTCGAAATCTAGTCAAAAAAGTGCAAAATTTTTTGTGAAAAAAAAATTTTTTTCAGCAAAAATTTTCAGCTGCCCTTTCATATTTTCAGCCTTTCAAACCCCTTTTTCCAGGCTCCACCACCAAAAGCGACGCCAGCAGCACCGGTTGCTGCCTCCTCATCGGGCGGTACCGAAGACTTCAATCCGTTTGCGAATCGAGCCGGCCGCTCCTCATCGTCAAATATAGCTCAACCCAGCACTCATCAGGTCCTTCATCTCCCTCTATTTCTCTTTATTTTCTCTGTTTCAAATAATAAAAAAAGGCGGAGAAGAGAAGAAGGCGTCGGCGGTGCCCTTCTCTTCTACACAGCATCGTATTGATTAGAAGGGAGCGGAAGGCGGGGAGCTCTCAAGCTTCTTTTTTTGCAGTCCTTTTCCTTCTTGTTTTATGTAGAAAAATAGGTAAAAGTGGAGGTTTTTAGAGCTAGACTTTGGTTAGAAATGAGTGAATTTTCAGTCAAAAAATGATTTTTTTTTCATTTGAAAACTCAGAAAAAATGTCAAAAATTAACTTTTTTTTGTCAAATTGTAGTGGTTTTCGACTTATTTTGGGCCTGAAAATTCTAGATTTTCGTTTTTAAAATTTATTTTCCGCTTAAAAATTTCAAATTTAACACATTTTAAGCCTAGAAATTTGAAATTTTCCGACCTAATCGAGTCATTTAAGACTAAAAATTTCAATTTCCACAAATTTAAAAAGAGAAATTTGAGAATTTTCTGACCTAAATTACGCTGATTTAACGATAAAAATACCGAATTTCCAGTGATTTTAGGCTGAAAATTAGCAAATTTTAAGCCAGATTTGGGTATTTTAAGTAGTTTTTGACAAATTTCCAGGTGAAATTTTTTGAAAAATTCTAATTTTGAGCAGTTTTTCTTGCTAGAAAAAACTGAAAATTTGGTATTTTTCGATCAAAAAATCATTGATTTTTAGCTAATTGAATGTTTCTTGACTCATTTCAGCCTAAAAATTTCAATTTTCACAATTAAAAAAAAAAGAAATTTGAAAATTTCCGACCTAAATTACCCAACTTTAAAGCTAAAGATACAGAATTTCAAGTGATTTTAATTCTAAAAATTAACCTATTTTTAGTTAAAAAGCTGAAAAACGCTAATTACCCCCTAATTACCCTCTAATTACAGTCAACGACTTCGGGAAAATCTGGAATGGACGATGAGCTGTTCAGAAAACAACAGGATTTGGAGCGTCGTGCTCAGGAATTGCGAATGAGAGAAGAGGAGTTGGATAGAAGGCAACGATCGAATGCTGCCAATAATTGTAAGGATCAGAGATAATTAGTGTAACTAGCCTGTTTTTATACATCAAAATGTGTGGAAAATTATGTAGAAAATTCAAAAAAAATTCGAAAAATGGCTTCTGGAAACTTCTGGAAGGTTCTGGAATTCTTCGATTTTTAGACCTTTTTAGGTTTTTCAGATATTTTCAAAAATTCTTTTTCGATTTTTCCGGTTTTTGTTGGCTGAAATTCGATGGAACGGCGTTCGTGAAAATTTGATTACTGGAATGAGATGCATTTTGACGNGAATGGGTTTGCAAAACAATAACTACTACAGTAACCTACAGTAGTCTCGACGAACACCGAATTTCAGACAACAAAAACCGGAAAAATCGAAAAAGAATCTTTGAAAATAGCTGAAAAACCTAAAAAGGTTTGAAAATTTTGCAAACAATCGAAGGAACAATCAATTTTTTCTCTCGAAAAATTGCTTTAAAAGGGGATTTTTAAACGAAGTTTTAAAATTTTTAATTCATCAAAATGTGAAAAAAATATGTAGAAAATTCAAGAAAAAATTTCGAAAAATGGCTTCGGGAAACTTCTGGAAGGTTCTGGAATTGTTTTTAAATTTCCGCCAAAACTGAACATCCTGGGCCACCTCTAGAACGTTCAGAAAACTAGAAAGTTTTTGCTGGAATTTAAAAAAAGATTCCAGAATCTTCCAGAACTTCCCAGATGTGATTTAGGAGCGGTGCAAGGAACCAGCAAAAAAAAACTAGGTTAAACCGCGCCGAAGGCCCACCAGCTAGCTGGTAAATAAACAAAATTTTCATATAAAAATTATTAAAATCTACTAATTACCTCATGTTTTACAGTGAACACAGGAGCGGCGAACAACGCGCCACGCCCACACAACTGGCCCCCACTCCCAACGATCATTCCAATCGAGCCATGCTTCTATCAAGACATCGAAGTGGAGATTCCAGTGCAATTCCAAAAAACCGTCACCCTGGCCTACTACGTCTTCCTCACCTACGTTCTGGCCTTGGTCGTCAACGTCGTAGCCTCTCTGTTCTATATGATATGGGGTGGAGGATCCATCGGCCAGTTGTTCTTGGCTTGCATCCAACTGGCACTCTTCTCACCATGCTCGTTCCTCTTCTGGTTCCGTCCCGTCTACAAGGCATTCCGAAATGACTCTTCATTCAATTTCATGGTCTTCTTCTTTGTTCTATTCTTCCATTGCATTTTTACATTCGTTCAAACTTTGGGACTTTCGAATTACGCTTGTGGATGGATCAATGCGTTGGACACTTTTAAGGGTAAGAGTTTTAAGAGATAAATCGCAAAAATCTTAAATTTGGCACAAAAATGACTAGATTTTGATCAGAAAATACCGATTTTTCTATCTATAAATCCCGAATTTGACGCTAAAACTGCTCAGATTTGGTCCCTGAAAAGTTTGAAAAGCGAAATTTTCCTGAAAAAAAATTAATCTTAAGCTGTGGAAATTTAAAATTTTGACTTCAAAAAATCGAAATTCTGCTTTCAACAATGCTCATTTCGGCTCAAAAAAGCCAATATTTTTCTCTAAAAATAAGATTTTTGCTCTCAAAAATATGATTTCTAGCCAGTTTTAAATCCCAAATTTGACGTCGAAAATTCTCAAACTTCGTTCGAAAAATGCTATTTTCAGCGCGAAAAATAACAGTTTTGGCTGGAAAAATCTCGGAATTCGGATTGAAAATCACGATCATTCTTGAAAAAAAGGCTTGATTTTTAGCTCTGGAAGTTCAAAATTCTGAATCCAAAAAGTCTTATTTTAGTCTAAAAATGCACAAATTTTGTCCCGAAAAATCCAGGCTTTGGCTAGGAGAAGCTCGATTTTTTTATTAAAACTCAAATTTTGGCCTTAAAAATGAAAATTTTGACTCCAAAAAGTCTTATATTGGCTAAAAACCTCCATTTTTCTCTACAAAATTAGTCGAAAAAAATTCGATTTTCAGCCAAAATTTTTAGCTGAAATTCCAGCGATTCCACCCCCATTTTCAGCACATTCCCATCCTAAAAATCCCAAACATTTTTCAGTTTCTGTCCCAATCGCCCTTCTGATGCTCATCTCGGCCATCACCTTCACCGTCGCCCTGACCGGAATGGTCACCGCACTGGTCAAAGTGCACCGCCTGTATCGTGGAGCCGGCTTCTCGATTGACAAGGCTCGTCAGGAGTTCACGAATGGTGTCATGTCGGATGCTGGCGTCCAGAGAGCCACTGCGGCAGCCACTCAGGCGGCAGCCGGTGCGGCATTCAATCAGGCCACTCAGGGACGCTTCTAAATTGCTCTATTCCAAATTTTTTGAACATTTTTTCTGTTAAAAATGCCATTTCCCCTCTTTTTCCCCGTTTTTTGAAGTCTATTTTATGTATGAAAACACTGTGGCCTAGAAACCTCCTAGCTTGGAAAATCTAGTCCCCGGACTAATATTACCAACGATTCTAAACTCCTATTATTCACCAACGCTATACCCATGAGTCCGGGGACTAATTTTCCTTGAGGATCCCTAGGCCAGCTATTTATTTTTCTCGTTCCTTTTTGATTTCGAATTTCTCACTTTTCTAATTTTTTTCTTTCTTTATACAGTAGCCCTCTTATTTATTAACCTTTACCTGTCAGCAATTTAAGTATATGAGAACAAATGAAGCAGTTGGATTTTTGTTGAATTTTCGAACAAAAAAGTGTGGTGGCCTAGTTTTGGGGATGTCTAGGCCACCGACCCGGAAGTGGGCGGAGCCTTGTCGTGTTTGGGCTCGTTTTAAAGCTCTCAACATTTGAAACACACCTAGATATGTTTAAATAGCGAAAAAAAAGCAAAACCTAGGCCACCAGATGGAAAAGTTCGGCCAGCAACTGTCAACCGGTACAGTACCCCTTGAAAGTGGGCGGAGCCTAGTCGTGTTTGAGCTCATTTTGAAGCTCAGAACGTTTTAAGTTTGGATATTATATTTTTCAGGTTGTCAACGTCTTCTATTCATCAGAAGACCGCTCGCAAAGGATTTTCCGAAATTTCAAGTGTCTGCTCTCTCTAAACGCTTATATCTCAATAACTAGATGGGCTATCAAAAAAGTGTCAACTGATTAAATAAAGCTTATAAAATTTGAAACAACTTTGTAATTGACAAATTTTTGATAGCTAACTCGTGTTTTGAGCTACAAGCGTTTGAAAAACAAAACGCGCGCAAAAGGCTGCTGCAATAGAAGCATTATATTTTTTGAGCTCAATTATCTCGGTTGCTATAAAAGATATAAAAAAGTTATTAACTAATAAATTGTTTATCATAATAACATCCATATTTTATTAGTTGAACATTTTTTGATATCTCTCACAGGAACCGAGATAATTGAGCTCAAAGTACAAAGTTTGGGTGGACTACTAGAGAACGTCAACATTGCCTAGTTTTCTTCACAAGATTTTCCTCTGTCATCGTAGTGAATACCCCCAACATTTACCTAATGTCCTTTCTAGACTATCTACTATAGCGGCCGAATATTTTAAAATGAATTTTCTAGGCCACCAAAGTTACTGACCTACCGTAAAACCTGTCATAGAAGGGCCCGCATGTTCGAGCTAATTTTTCTTGGCTCCCATGCGAGATATAAAAAATTTCTCAACTAATAAAATATTTGTGATGTTATGATAAACATTTTATCATTTGACAACTTTTTAATATCTTCGACAGGAACCGAGTTAAATTGGTTCAAAAATGAAGGGCCCTTCTATTACAGGTTTTATCGTAGCTGCGTTGTCGAAGAGAGGTTTTTACAGTATAACATATTAACTGTATTCCGAACTAATTCATTTTCTTTGGGCGGTGTCCCTTCTGAGATAAGCTGAATTAGCTAGCTTCGTTGAGAACAATTGTAAATCTAGATAATCCATCGTTGATTGAGTGGCAGAATTTTGTGGGAAAGAGGACCGAGATGGGCGGACTGTCTGTGGTCCCGTTGTCCACATACATTTTTTTTTTTGCCCCTACATTTTTGGTCCCAAGGTGTCCCCTCATCTTTTCCGCATTCCTTTTTTCTGATCGTTCACTCTTAGATTCCTATTCTTCCAGTCTCTGCAATGTGTATTTTCAGAAGATGAAACTATCCAAATTTCCGTATTTGGTCCAAAAAGAAATACTCCTCAACATCAAATATTCTGTTATAATAATGCTCTCCTTCGCCTCCAAAAACATTAGAAAAATAATCAAATCACAAGATTCAAAAGTATCAGTTCTATGGTGTACAACTATTTTTGGATGGGTCCAAAGATGGTTTATATTCCCTCCAAAACTAAAAGGGATTTTATAATGGTAGAGCGAAAACTGCTTGGGAATTATTATTTTCCATTGAATGTATATGGAAAGATTATTTATTTTCAGTGAGTTGCATTGTAAACTTTGAGCCTGTCTATCTGGATTACTGTAAGAGGTATCAAAAAGTGCTCAACTGACAAAATGTTTCCGATACTATGGCAAACATTTTATCAGTTTATCCCTTTTTGATATCTCTCACAGGAACTGAGATAGGTGCAATTCTATATCCATTTTACAGACTTCGATATCGTTGTCTCCTGGCATCTTATCAACGGGATGGCAAAGAATCCGTATTTGAATCTATTCACAACTACTTTTGGATCTTTTCGAAAGTTTTTTGGAGTATCATTTGAAAGCAGGATATGGTTGGAGAGAGAACGATGATCGAATTCCAAACCTTGAAAATTTATCAGTATGCAGTATTCGGAACTCTCGATTTGCAGACATGACCAACAACAGAAACTTTTTCGCTTCAAATCTTGTTTCCAAAAGAGTTCATATGGTTGATAAGGGAGAAGATTCATTCGAACCGGAATCCAAATTCTATCAGACTGAATCAATTGAAGGCGAACAATCCGCTAGTGCTATTTTACGCCATTTTCAAGGAAGACAGGCAGTTGTCAAATGCCATCGATGCAAAATTATGGATTTAATCGAATTCGTAAGTAGGTGGAAATCAGGAGAAGCTTTTCAGAAGCTGGAATACTTGGAGGTCAACAAAAATTTCCTAAGCTGGGACCCTGATGAAATTCCTGAATTCCTAAACTCCATTGGTGCAAAACAGAGGACGAGTTTTTGAGGATGGTGCAGTCTCCATACTAATATCAATTTTTATCCTTATCTTATACCTTTAAACCTGTAATAAAAAGGCCTCTAAAGTTTGAGATCATTTATCTCAGTTCCTAAAAGATATATCAAAAGGGGGTCAACCAACAAAATATTTCTGATGTTAAGATAAACAATTTAACAGTTGATTTTTTATATATTTTTTACAGAAATCGAGAAAAATTGGTTCAAAGTTGAAAGTTAGGTCCATAACATGCTTCGTTTTGAACCAAAAAACTATATTTTTACACTAATCGAAAGAACATAAAATTCGTGAAAAACTTTTTTAGCTTTTTGAGGTAATTCAAAATGTTATGCTCTTTCTATTAATGTAAATATACAGAATCTAGTTTCAAAACTTTAGGCAGATGACACCATATGAATCCTAGGACAAACAGACTTTCCTTTGCAAAGGGGGAAAACGAAACAGCCAGAAATGTTGGTTTTTTCATCAAGGTATGTAAAATTGGAACTATTCGAAAACTATTCGAAGAAATTTGTTCGAACAACTACTCGACGAATATTCGAAAAATTATTCGAATGTTATTCGAATATCCGTAATAAAACTCGAATAACTTTTTCGAATACTTTTCGAATACCTATCTCGAACGGCTCGAAAATCACACATTGCTGGGAATATTTGTAATTCTTCTCTGTCAGCGTGAATTTGTGACAGGAATTGATGTGAAACATAGCGTATGTTTGCTTCATTCTCGGTACGCCTGTGTCTCCTCTCTCCCCGCACTATCCTCTTTTCCCAACCCTATCGACCGAAACCGTCATCATTTAAAAAATTGTTTTATAGGGCAGTTAACCAATATGTCTACGAACTTTGACAACAGCCGAAATAGTAGTGACATCGGAGGGCGTGAGTCACATAGCAATCACTTATCATGTTGTCTATTTCATCCCTTTCAGCTTCCAATTCAACAGTACTTCAAGAACCAATCGACATCCAATTATTAGCAGCAGAAAGCGTTATTTGGACAGGTAGATGATTATGATTTTTTAAGTTTTAAAAATAAATTATATTTTCAGAAAAAAATGTCGCATACATCGGTCCATTCGGAAAGTTTCCCGGAAAAGTCGTCATCACCAGGTACCGAATGGTTTTTCTTGTTGGAGATCATGGGGGAAAACATTACAAAGTGAGTTTTATTCAACAGTTTTCGTTAAAAACTAGATACAATTTCAAAATATTAGGTTGTTCGGAAAGTCCTTTCCACTTTTGATATGTTGTTTTCAAACTTCGTTTTCTTGAAGGGGATAAAAGCGAGGAAGTTGTCGTTTTATCAGTATGCTGGTGAGGTCTAATAGTGTCTACACCCCAACGGAGATGATTCTCCTATTTTCGTGCAGTGAGATACGGTGTCTAGAAGTACGCAAAAAAAAATTATTCGGCGAATGTGGTTTCTTTTTTGGATACTTTTAGTAATGACATCGTTTTTGAAAATTTCTCTTTTTCGATTTTTAAGAGTTTTCGAGTGTGAACCTATCATTATTTGGAGTACGGTAGATGAAAGCAAATAAAAAAGTAGAAAAACAACAAATTGAAAAGAGCAATACTAATTTGATGTGCAAAAACCACTATGCCGTTTTCGAAATTTTCGAATTTGGGCTGAGGCATTTTTAGTTTAGGTACTTCTGAAATAGGTAGGATCGGTGGCCTAGGGGCCCTGATAGTTTTTGGCTGGGTGAGCTTATTTTCGACAGAACGGACTGTCACGGTAACATACCGACGGCCTCAATCACGGCCGGTCGCGGCCGGCCGCGGCCCTGTTTCCGACAGCCTTGCTTAAGAACTTTAGAATTTTTGAATGTCCATTCTCTGAATTTCTGAGTTTCTGATTTTCCAATATTCGAGTTTTAGTCCTTTTTTCAGCGCTTATTTTTTCAAAGTCTAGATTCAGGAAAAAACATATTAGAAATTTGAAAGTAAGAAAAGTCTGAAATAATTAAATTCAAAAATTGTAAAAGTTAGACAATTGGAGTTGTAGAGATTAGTTAATTAAAAATGTGGCAGTTCCAAAACTCTTCAATTTTCAATATGCAAAAGTTTCAAGTCTGAATCTCCTAGTTTTTGGAATTTGAATTCATGAATGTTTTTAATTCTGAAGTTTTGATGTTCAGAATTTCGAAAACTTTTCACAATTACAAAACTTATGAATTTTCGTATTTTAAAGTAGACATCTAAATATGGAAGTTTGAGAGTTTTTGAGTTTCTGAATAGAAATACCGGAAATTCAGTAAATCTAGCTAGAAACGGAGATTCAAAAGCTCAAAAACGTGGGAATCAAAAAATGAAGTTCATCTTCATTCATTTGGAAAGAGAAATCAAAAAATGAGGAGCGGAGCGACGCACAGTGCAATAAAAAGGTTCGATCGCGCCGAAGGTGCACTATCCAGCTGTTTTAAGCGCCGGAGGCGCGGCAAACAGGCTGGTAAACAACAATCCAAGTAGGTTGACATAGGCACTCAACCACCAGACGTCCCGAAACGTGTAATTAACGTTAAAAATGGGATGTTTTCGGCATGGATGTCTACCAAGGAGTGGAGTATTGGGAGCTGCCAGATAATGGTGTCACTTTTATGACCGATACCTATTTTTGTCAGGTGACATAACTCAGACTCCATGTGGATCTCCATTGGAGAGAAACACAAAGGTTTATTTTCAAACTCGAAGTTCGCAACCTCATGCGGGAAGTAGAACGGAGATCGATCTCACTGGATACGGCTAAACGGTTCTGTCTTATCTACAGTACAGTCCAAACCTTGTACTGTCTGACTACCCCCTATCCAGCCATTTCTACCGACATCTTGATTGAAAAAAATTCACTTCAAAGCATGATGTCAAAAATGAGTTGACCTGATTTTCAATGCGCTGTGACCGGAGTTCTGGAAGGAAGGCATCCACAATTTGGTGGGACGTTGGCAGATAGTCACTGATAATAATGGTCATTATCTTCAATTTATCTGACATCGTTTTGACCTTTTTTATATCGAACGAATCTGACGCTAAAAATGGAAAGGACTTTCCGAACAACCTAATAGAATTTCAGCGATGGAAGCTTGATGTACCTCTCGGACAAGTTTCGAAAGTAGAAAAAATTGGAGGACAATCAAGAAGTGCTGCAATGAGAAGAGACGATAATTATGGGTTTATCGTGCTTTGCAAAGATTATCGAAACTACAAATTCGCATGCCTACCCACTTCGAATCGAAAGAGTATTTGTGATGCACTGAATCGCTATGCATTCCCTATTTCTCATAACTTCGTAAGTGTAGATATACAGTGGCGAGAAGTGGTGAGGAGAGTTTTTTCGAACATTCATAACTTTGTTCAAAATTGCTCAATTGACTCAAAATTTTGCATGAGAATAGCTGTAAAATCCAAAAACATGAAAATCGGGTTTTTGAAAATTTCGCATTTTCAGATGTAACAGTGGTCAGAGAATTCAAAAAAAAAATTTCCAGAAATTTTTCTCGCTTCGATTTCAGATGTCAAATGATTCTCAAAGTCTAAATATGCACCAAACAAGTTTTTTAATGTATTTTTGATGCTCAAAATTTCACAAATGATGTGTTTTGAGTTGTTTATTAGTTTTTTGTCGAAAAGTTTTCCAATTGTAGAACAAAACTTTTTCATTTCTTTTGACCTAAAAAATAGTTTTGAGAACATAAAAATAGTAAAAAATTTCTACAATTGAAAAACTTTTGGCATAAAACAAAAAAGCAACTCAAAATGCATCATTTGTGAAATTTTGACCATCAAAAATACATTTTCAGCTGAGTTATGGCAAAAATGCCGGCACATACCTTTTGTGCTCTGAGCATCATAACTCGAGAGCCCGACTTCCAAAATTCTTCAAAACTTTTTTGGCGCATATTTGGACAAAGCCAGAAAAAATTCTGAAAGAAAAGTTTTTTTTTGGATTTTTGGACCACTGTTACATCTGAAACTTCTCCGAAAATTCTGAAAATGAGAAATTTTCAAAAAACCGATTTTTATGTTTTTGGATTTTATAGCTATTCTCATGCAAAATTTCAAGTCAATTGAGGATGTAATCTTTCTCGCCACTGTATTTATCGAAGTTTTATTTAGTTTCTCATTTAACTAATTCAGCCGCTGTTCGCGTTTGTGCACGCAGCAGAATCTCCACGATCAATAAGCGATGGGTGGAAGATATATTCAGCAGAAGGGGAATACGAGCGTCTCGGAATCTCCTCGTCACGTCTCTGGGAAAAGGTTGACATCAACAAAGACTACAAGTTCAGTGAGACCTATCCAAGAGTCGTAAGTTACAATTCGTGGAATTCTGGAATTTTCAATTCATGTTCCTTCCAGTTCGTAATCCCCAAAGCAACAGTGGAAAAGGGAAAGGTGTTTCTGAAAAAGGTTGGAGAATATCGTAGCAAAGAAAGAATTCCAGTAAATTTGATCTATCTAAAAATCAGAGTTCATTTAATTTCTTTAGGTTCTCAGTTGGATTGATCAAAATACACTGGCTTCGATTAGCAGATGCTCCCAACCAATGACTGGACTTGCTAGCAAAAAGTGCATTGAGGATGAGATGTGAGTGTTTAATATTTTTAGTCTAGATAATCAAATCATGCTATTTAAGCCACCTGGCAAATATCATGAGTGCGAATGCCAACTGCCGTGAACTTCTGATTCTTGATGCTCGCCCAGCAGTCAATGCAAAGCTGATGAAAGCAAAAGGCGGAGGATATGAGGATAACTACACGACAGCGTCGCTCACCTTCCTCAACATTCATAACATCCACGTCGTTCGTGATTCTCTGAAACGGATGGTCAGCACTCTTCTGCCGCGTGTCGATGAGAAGAACTTCTACAAAGTCTTGGATGGAACTAAGTGGCTTCATCACGTGCAAAGCATTTTGGAAGGAGCATTAAAAGCTGTATTCAATGTGGATACTGAGAAACAGTCAATTTTGGTCCACTGTTCTGATGGATGGGATCGCACCGCCCAACTAACATCTTTGACAATGATTCAATTAGATCCGTATTATAGAACGATTGAAGGATTCATAGTTCTGATTGAAAAAGAGTGGTGTAGCTTTGGACACAAGTTTGGGCAACGAATTGGTCACGGAGAGGATTCGCACGGGGATGGCGAACGATCACCAATCTTTGTTCAATTTTTTGACTGCGTGTGGCAAATCATGCGTCAGTTCCCATGGGCTTTTGAATTCACACAAGATTTGCTAATCTATATTCTTGATGAGCTGTACTCTTGTCGATACGGAACGTTCTTGTTCAATTCGGAGAAAATTAGATTACTGGATAATGTGAGTAATATTGGTTTAGTAGTCAACCAGCCTGTTTGGCGGGCCTCCGGCGCTTCAAACAGCTGTCTGGTGCGCCTTCGGCGCGAAACCAAAGAACGTCTCCAGAAGGCTTCAAAATCGAAATTTCGAAAACGGAAAATCGGGGCGTCATCTCGCTAAAACGGACACATACATTGTGATAGTTAATAGTAAAGATATAAGCTTTGACATACTTCAGAAATGTGCGGAAACAACAATATCGCTGTGGTCGTATGTGTTGGAAAACAAGGAGAAGTTCACAAATCCAATATTCAGAGTGCGACGTTTGTGTGAAGTCTAAAAATAACTTTCGCAAACTTGTATTGTTTCAGAAACCAAAAAAGTTCTCTATGTGAATCCCTCATTCTGTGTTCTTCAAGTCTGGGTGGACTACTATGCCCGATTCAACCCTCACCTAAAAACTCCACAGCACGAGGTAGGAATATCAGAGCTACTTGGTAGTAGTTTACAAACCAATATGAAGTTTTAGGATATTCAACACTCCGGCACTCCATTCGTGAATGCAAAGAAACACCTCATGGGGGAAATTATGGCGCTCGAGGAATCAATTAATAATGCTGATGAATAATTTTGTTCCATTTTTGTATCCCAATTCGAAGATTTATGAGTATGATGAGCTCTACTACTTTATTCTGTATACTTGCGAAGGGCCGGAAGGCCCGGAAGGCGGCAAGTTCAATTTTACAGCAATCGAGATGAATTGGATCAAAGTTGAAAGTAAAGGCGATTGGAAAATTGTACATAACTTGCTTTGTTTTGAAGCTAATAACTGTATTTTGGCACTAATCGAAATAACATACGTTTTTAATTTTTCTCAAATAATTGGAAATTATCTTATTATGAGTTTTATGCTCTTTCGATTAGTGCAAAAATACAGTTTTTATCTTCAAAACGGAGCAAGGTATGGACAATTTTCCAAACTTCTATTGAAGCAGTCGATTTTTAAAGTCTATTGTTATTACTTGTTTGTTTAATCTGTTTTTTAAATATATATGTTTTAATAGTTCAATGAATCCCAGACTATTATCTTTGTCTTCTTCATTCAAAGCTTTTAAAATAAGAAAATGCTCCTAATGACGTGGCAGATGACATCATATTAATCCTTGGGCAGACAGACTTTCTCTGGGACCTCCGTCATCCTCAAGAGTTCTACTACAAGCAATCTCCCGGGGAGGCTCAGGATCCAAGGCTACATCGAGGAATCGAAACATTCTTTAAAAATTGAGTTCTTATTTTCGTCCTCCCACATGTGCCACAAAATCCCATGTGAACTTGAATTCTGGGCGCGCCCGGGAACACTTAATTTATGAGTAATCGATTTGTGTATGTGTGTTCCCGCGTTCCGTTCCCTGCGAACCACTAGGAGAAGAGTGCCTAGGAGAAGAGGGACCAGAAGAAATAGGAATCGCGTAAACAAAGCAGAAGAGGAAGGTCGGGTCACAACGAACGGGGCAAAGTGGCTAATGTGTTCACCCCCAATAGGCGTCCTTTTTCTTGCCTAGTCATTAGGTATCTTCATTTTCTATACCTATTGCAGATCCGTACAAATTCTGCCTTTGGGTTTCACCAGATTTTTTTGACTCAATTTTTATGTAGACATTAATCTGAAAGTGATGCTAATACTCGTTCTGCCTGCTGTAAAACCTGTGATAGACAGCTCCCTAACTTTGAGCCAATTTATCTCGGTTTCTATCAAAGATATTTAAAAGTTGTCAACTGATAAAATGTCTATCATATTATCAGAAGCGTTTAATCAGTTGACACATTTTTGATATCTTGTACAGAAATTGAGATAATTGAGCTCAAACTTGACAGTGTGAAGGCCCTTTTATTACAGGTTTTGCGGTATATACGACTCTTTAAAACCGAGTTTTGATAAATTTCCAGATGGATCTCTAACTCTAGAGATTCAATACCGTTCGAACAGCGATTCATGCGCTTCCAAGATTAACACCAATCGGTTTTGTCATTTTGTTTACGCCTCTTCTTTATCCTGGTCCCTTCCTGTCCCCTTGGCCAATGAATGAGTGTCCTGACTAGCCAAGGACACCCTACAAGTCCCTTCTTTATTCATCTTCTATACCAATATCCTATCCTAACGTTCCTGTAAATTATACTTCCAGAAATGAAACTATTCAAATTTCCGTATGTGGTCCGAAAGGAGATACTGTACAACATGGAATCTTCAAACATTTTTCTGCTTTCGTTTGTCTCCGAAGAACTAAGGGAATTCATCAAAAGTCAACCATTTATTTATATTAGCTACAAAGGTTTTATGCAGTTGTTAATGAAAATTGTCGAGCGCGAGGACACCATCGAAAAGGATTATTTTCCATTGAATGTATCTGGGAAGATAATTGATTTTCGGTAAGCTAGCTGTAATAGAAGGGTCCCTCAAGTATGAGTCTAATTATCTCAATTCTTATACAATATATCTAAATTTCGTAAACTGACAAAACACTTCTGATATTATGATGAACGATTTGTTAGGTGACAACGTTTTGGTATCTCTAGTAGGAACCGAGATAAATTGGCTCAAAGTTAAAAGTTAGGGGGCCCTTATATTGAATCAATTTTCATTTTTCATTGTCAGAAAAATTTTCATTTTCCAGAATGTCCAACGGTTTTCCAGCTGCATCTTATCACCCAGACGACAGATAATCTGTTATCAAAGCGATTCATAACTATTTTCTGGATTTATTCAAAGATTCTGTTGAATATCATTGGTTGGCCAGCGACTACCATCATCCAATGGTACAACTACAAAACTTATCATTGAGTTGCAATTTGACACTGGGCAGAAACTTTGCTGATATGGAAAACTTTGACATCTTTCTTTCCTCATCTCCTGTATTGAAGAGAGTTAATATGTCCGTTGGAACGACAACCGAACCATTCAGACCGGATTCCAAACTCTATGAGGCTGAATCAATTAAAGTCACCCAGCACTCACCTACCGTTCCTGATATTTTCAGCCGTTTTCAAGGAAGACAAGTGTTTTTAAGATGGACAAGTGGTGGAGATTTGGAGTTGGAATTGTGGAGATTTGTGAATGAATGGATAACTGGAGAAACATTTCAAAATCTGGAGTATTTGAAAGTCGAAATTTCGAAAACAATCGGGCCGCAATTTCTGAATTTAATTTCAGCGAGACGTATTGATGAAGAAGATAAACCACCAACACACACTCTGCCAAAAGTGTAAGTTATCCTTGCCGTACTTTAAGCCGATTTATCTCGGTTCCTGTCAAAGTTATCAAGAAGTTGGTAATTGATGAATTGTTTATTGTAATGTCAAAAATATTTCATCAGTTAAGCACTTTTTGATATTTTTTACATGAAGCGAGATAAATAGGGTCATAGTTAAAAGTTAAGGGAACTACGGTATTTTGGAAAATTGCCTATAATTTGCTTCGTTTCGAAGTTGAAAACAGATTTTTTCACTAATCTAAAGAGCATAAAATTTCAAAACAAATTTTTTTTTCCTTACAAATTTTTGAAAATTGAGCCAATTTATCTCGGTTTCTATCAAAGATATAAAAAAGTTGTCAACTGGTAAAAAGTTTATTATAATATCAGTAATGTTTTGTCAGTTGACATATTTTTGATATATTTGACAGGAAGCGGGATAAATTGGCTCAAAGTTAGATGTTAATGGGACTACGGTAGTTTGGGAAATTGTCCATAACTTGCTTCGTTTTGAAGCTAAACACTGCATTTTTACACTGATCGAAATGGCAAAAAATTTTAAATCATCTGAAAAAACTGAAAATACTATTTTTCAGATATGTCGATTTTGGTTTCGAACCAAATACGGAGCCAATCACCAGCCACGCATATGTCGTCAGACGAACCGATGGTCATGTGGCATCTGTTAAGGTTCAAGGACTGCTATTCACTTTTGGAGTATGGAATAAGACGGAGATCGAGTTTCTAAAGATGGTCCAGTCTCCATACTAATATTAATTTTATCCTTATCCCATACCGTTAAACCTGTAATAGAAAGGCCTCTCATATTTGAGCTAAATCACCTCGGTTCCTATGAGAGCTATCAAAAATCTGGCAACTAATAAAATGTTTTTGATTTTATGATAAAAAATTTATCAGTTGACTGCTTTTTGATATCTTTTACAGTAACCGAGATAAATTGGCTCAAAGTTGAAGTGTACTATTGCCATGTTAACTGCTTCTCAATTCTATCCATTTATATGACCTATATAAAACTATCCATCCACAACTTGGTGCCACGTTTTTATTCTTTCTCTGGAAATCAAATCATCGAAAATCTATGTGGGATCCAAAAGACGTTGACTCGACAGTCTAATAATTAATTATTTTCTAGTTTAGCTACAAAATGATTTATCCGAAGATAGCAAATTTCAAACACGAATCCAGGTACCTTGGCTTAATTTTGAATTTCTAGCAATTTCTAGAAATAATTTCAGACATGAACGTAAAACAGCGGGCCTATGCTCAGAACTGCATCTATCGGCAAGTACGGTTCCCATGGGAGAGAATAGTGTGAGTTGGGCAATAGTTCGCGATAAAACGAATTGCTCAAAAATACAATTTGACACATTTTGGTACAGAAATCGTCAAAATAGGTTGAGAATTACAAAAGTTATGAACTATGTAAATTCTAATTGACAAAAAATGGTTGAAATTTCATTAGAGCGCGTTTTCAATAGGTAGATCAAATTTTCGAGTGTACTGTTTGAATGCAATAATGTAGACCATAAAATTTCACACATTTTGATACAAAAACCAAAAAAAATTGGTTAAGAATTACACAAGTTATGAGCCATCCAATTTCAAGTTGACAAAAATGTGTTGAGATTTTATCAGGACACATTTTCAATAGGTAGATCAAAATTTCAATTTTTGAAGTTTATTTAATTAATGTAGATCAGAAAATTTTACACATTTTGATACAAAAACCAAAAAAAATTGGTTAAGAATTACACAAGTTATGAGCCGTTTAAATTCAAGCTGACAAAAATTTATTGAGATTTCGTTAGAGCGCATTTTCGATGAGTATATTAAATTTTCAAATGTTGCGGTCAACTGTGATAATGTAAATCATAAAATCTTATACATTTTAATACAAAGTCCGTTTAAATCGGTAGAGAATTACAAAAGTTATGAGTCATCCAAACTAAAACTCGCACATTTTCCAGCTCTCCGCCACAATGGCTCCCGAAGACTACGCCACAATTGTATCAAATCTCCAATCAGCCGTCTGTTTGAATGTTGCTCGCCGAGTCGCTTGTCCCGCCCATGATTCAAAGCTATGGAGTGACGTGGCATCTCGAAACTACTCGATTTGGAGAATTCTCTGGAAGATTCTAATAGTGATCGTCTCGATTTTCTACGTTCTTCTACCTCCGTACCCACCGAAACTATTCCGGAAATTGGTGTTTTGTTGTCCACAAAAAGGCAGATATTACTATTTGATTGCTGTCAAAGGTGTGGCCTAGAAATACAAAAAACTCGGCCACATGTTCTCTTCCAGGTACCACTCGTCGAGCGTGCTTCAAGGCTAGCGAAGCGGATGGTCACGATCATTTGTCGATTTGTCTTCCGCAAATGATTCGACCCAAAATTCGAGCGGTTGATGTCTTCTATCACCTTCTTCGATGCAAAGTTTTCACACTACCGTATGACGAGAAGCACAAAATATGTGCAATGGAATTGTATTGTGAGCAATCGATTCGTTGGTTACATCGGGATAAGAATCGGAAGAGACTTCGGTCTCCGAACCTCATCATTTTCTCTCAACCCAATTCTTCGGATCTCGGGTGTTGTCTGATGATGGATCCGAATTTTGCAGATATCGCTGATTTTTTACAATGTGATTTATTGATTTTCGATTATCCTGGATACGGTGTTTCGGAAGGAACCACAAATGAGAAGAATGTCTATGCGGCGATTGAGGTTAGCTTGGCTTATAACTTTTGTAGTTCTCAATCAATTTTCATGGTTTTTAAATGTGTAAAATTTTATGAGTTACATTATTGCAATATAACATAATAACTAAAAATTTGATATACGTATTGAAAATGCGCTTTAAATATACTTTCACACATTTTTTTAGATCCAAGTTTGGATGGCTCATAACTTTTGTAATCCTCAACCACTTTTTATGATTTTTGTGTCAAAATATGTGAAATTTAATGAGTTACATTATTGTAATTGTTCATAATATCTGAAAATTTGATCTGCGTATTGAAAATGCGCTCTAATTCTACTTTAACAAACATTCTTCATATTGAATTTGGATGGCTCACAACTTTCTTAGTTCTCAACCAATGTATATGATTTTTATATCAAAATGTGTGAAATTTTATGCACTACATTCATGCAATCAAACATATTAACTGGAATTTTGATCTGCTTGTCGAAAATGAGCTGTAATACACCCTACCAAGTTTTGGCAAATTAGAAGTTGGTGATCCATAACTTTTGTGATCCTTATCCTTAACCAATTTTTCGGAATTTCTAGATAAAAATATTTGAAATTTTATATACTACAATTCCAGGCTGTCGTGAAGTATGCTATGGAACAATTGGGATATCCACAGGAGAAGATCATACTGATTGGGTTCAGTTTGGGGACGGCTGCCATGGTACACGTAGCAGAAATATACAAGGTACGGATATTAAGAAAATACGCTCCATTGAGAAAAACAAACTTTGAAATTCTAATGTGCAGGTCGCCGCGCTGGTCCTAATTGCTCCATTCACTTCATTCTTCCGTATAGCTTGCCGTCGTCCGTCAGTCGTCCGTCCGTGGTTTGATATGTTTCCAAGTCTGGAGAAATCCAAAAAAATTGTGTCGCCCACTTTGATTTGTCACGGAGAGAAGGATTATATTGTCGGGCATGAGCATGGTGTGCAGCTGAAAGATACGATACCGGATTGTGAATTGCATTTGTTGAAACATGCGAGTCATCAGGTGAAAATTTTGTGCAATAGAATTCTGGAAAAGTATCGTAGCCCAGTCAGTTTTGCTTCAAATTCGGCACAATTTAAATACATCAATTTCTCATAATGCGGGCTTGGGTTCCGCCAAATTTCAAAAAATCGGACCCTTCATGCGCCTTTAAAATGAAATTTCAAAATGGGCGGAGCTTAGTCGTGTTTGGGCTCGTTTTGAAGCTCAAAACATGAAAAACGGAGATATCAAAATTTGATGTAGTTTGAAGAAAAATTGATCGCGTTATGGTAATTTTACGACGTCGGCAAATTACTGTAGATCCAGAATTGGGATAGAGAAAAAAAAAGCAAAAAGGTAAAAAAATCGAATTTGCAGGGTATATTCTGCGAACGTGAAATGTGGGATCGTGTCGAGCAGTTTTTAGGATCACGAGTCGGAATCACACGTGCCTGGATTGAACATCTTCAATCGGAATCAGAAATTTTGGATAATCCAGTTTCAGCATCTGAAGTTCGAATGTCACGGGAGCGGTCGGCTGTGATTAAAATGGAGCAGGGATCTAATTGATTTAACTCTTTTTTTAAATGAAGAATTGTAACGAAATGAACACTAATTTTATCGAAATCATGTATTTTCGGTAACAGGGTGTTTGGTACATATGGATAAAAAGGTTCAGGAGGTTCCTCTTCAGAATTTGCTCTGAATTGGCTCATTTATAGAATCGAGTATGATCTCTGCCGTAATAAGAGCCCAGGGACCGAGGGACCCAGGACCGGGGGTTCCTGGTCTCAGGATCCAGATCACTCGGATCCGGGTCACCCGGATCCAGGTCACACGGATCCAGGTCACCCGGACCAAGGTCACTCAAATCCAGGTCACCCGGATCCAGCTCACCCGAATCCATGTCACCCGGATCCAGGTCACCCGAATCCATGTCACCCGGATCCAGGTCACCCGGATCCAGTTCACCCGGACCAAGGTCACTCAAATCCAGGTCACCCTGATCCAAGACCCAGGTCGGCCAGATTCAGGCTACCCGGAGCCAGGTCACCAGGACCCAGGTCACCCAAACTGAGGTCACCCATATCCAGGCCACCCGGACCCAAGGAACCAGGACCGGGCTTCCTGTCCCGGATCCCTGGGTCCCCTTCTCTGGAGTCCAGAGAAGGCGAGAACTGATTATTATCTCCATTTCCCTCTACCTTTATAGTACTCTTCCCGATGTCAATGGGCCATCCAGGGTCATAACCACGTTTTTTTAATTCTTGAATTTTTCAATTAAAATCACGGTGAGTTTTTCACTACCGAAATGCAAAACAGTTTTTTTCACTACCGAAATGCGAAACAGTCTGCGACGTTTTAAAGTACATAGGGCAAAAAAAATCTGATTCATTTTTTTACTATATATTCTTCATGAAATTTACAAAAATGGTCTCAGGGTTCGATGGAGCGCTATTTCTGATCAGACCTTTTGGTTCCTTGTGGATTCTGAAATTTTTTGCACACGTGAAAACCTTTCACACAGATTTCCAGAAGCCAATTCAATTGTTTCTGGAAATCTGAAAAGATTCGTGGGTGTCAAACCAAAATTAAAATACCAAAAAAACCAATAAATCTTGTTTCCTTTTTTATAAAAACTCGCAAATTTTCTTTTTTTTCTCTTAATTTAAAATGACCGATATTACCAATGTCTCAACTTCCATGTCTTATGATGATCGACCATTTGCAAGTGGAGGTAATAAGCGGAAATCCTAACAATCCAAGAATTCTAAGTATTCTAAAAATCCTAAAATTCTAAGAATTATGAAGTTAAAAAAATCGGAAAAGTTCAAAATTTCTGAATATCCTAAAATTCTAAAAATCCCAAGAATCCAAAAACCCGAAAAATCAAAAACTTGAAATTTTCAGTAATCACAACTCAAACCTCCGGGTCCCTATGTCTTGAAATGGAAGGGCCACCGAGTAAAGAATCAACAGAATCTGAAATTATATCGAATGGGCTGGATCCCCCGATGGATACAACGCAAAGTACCGAAAACAGTTTGGAATCGGAAATAAAAACAAGGACGGCAATCAAAATAAGTCCGCTGAAAATCGCCTATGAGGTTTGTGTTTTGAATTATCTCGATTCCTGAAAAAGATATCAAAATTTTGTCAACTAATAAAAAACTTGTTATTTTATGATTAACATTTTATCAGTTGACAACTTTTTGCTTTTACAAGAACTTAGATAATTGAGATCAAAGCAAGGGCTGCTACTGGCGACGCAGTAGGCTAAGCCTCCGCTATGCTTGCACTTGGAGCTTAACTGTCTCGGTTTCTGTAAAAGATATCAAAGAGTAGTCAACTAATAAAATGTTTATCATAATATCACAAATATTTTATCAGTGTATCACTTTTTGATATCTCTTACAAGAAGAGAGATACGGTAGATCAAAAAAGATTGACAATTTCAGAAGCCTAAACTCTGCTCATTTATGCATTTCAAGACTCTAACCCATATCATCGCATTGTGTCTCATACCACTGATCCTTGTGGACACTGTATTCATATTTCAATACACAAGATTCCATGATGACTTTTTTCGAGAACCCAAACATCTACGAGAATTCGCTGGACCTGCTAATTTGATGGCTCTGGCTTTCAGTTTTTGCCACGTGGCACTTTTTTATTGGCGGAGAGAATCGAACTTGAGATCAGCAAATGCAACATTTTGGGTTACGGTACGGGTTTATAAATAGGCTCCGCCCCTTTTGTTTATCGTTGGGAAGGAACTTTTGATAGTAAACAGCAAAAGGGGGCGGAACTGAATTTAGTAGATTTAGTAGATTTTTTTAAGTCTGAAAAACAAGTTTGAAAAATCGAGTTCTTCGAAAATAAGGAATTTTAAGAAAATGAAAATTCGAAGCTAGAATTCTAAAAATTTTGAAATTCTAAAAAACCAAAAACTCTAAAAATCCGAAAAATTTCAGATGCTTACCACCGGGTCTCTGACGGTCTCCGGATTCCTTCTATGGACCGCCCGACCTCACTATTTGCCACGTCAGCAGTTGATTGTCCCATTTCAATATATCTCATTTTTCGGATCAATTATCGCTTGGAGCATCGCAGGAGTCGCAGTTTTCTATGAATGGCAGGCGTCGAAATATGCTGTGGTTTATTAAGAAAAAATAACAAAAATCGGAAACTTTTATTTAGTCATATTTGTTTTTTTATTTAGTTGAATGTGTAGTCTTATTATTTATAAATAAAGGAATGAACTTGAAAATTGTTTGGAAATGAAGAGATTCTAGGAGGGAAAAATATGCAGGGGAGGAACAAAAAATAATTGTGAAACCTGTAATAATAGAAGGGCCACCACACTGTCAAGCTCATTGTTCTCGGTTCCTTTACAAGATATCAGAAATGTTGCAACTGATAAAATGTCACTGATATTATGACCAACCATTTATTAGTTGACAACTTTTTTATACCTTTGTCAGGGACCGAGTTAGGAGGCCCTTCTGTTACAGGTACGCGGATTTTGAAAATTTAAAGAAACAGAATTTCAGACAGGAAAAATGAAGATTTTTAGAATTTCTGCAAATTACAAAATTTTGGGTTTTTAAAATTTCGAAATTTCAAATTTAGACGATTTCTTGAAGGCCAGGAATTCAGAATTTGAAGATATTCCGGTTTTCAAAAATTTAAGAATTATCAAAATTTGAGATTCCCAGATTTTCAGAGCTACAGAGGTCCTAGGAGTAAACACAAAATTTCTAGAAATTTGAAAAATTCAAAAATGCAAAATTTTAGACACATCAGAAACTTAGAGAATACCGCAAGTTTGGAAAGCCGGAAAACATCAGATACACACACTCTAATAGAACGCCACCCGAATCGTTAAATTTGAGCCCATGTATCTCATTTTCTGTGAAAGATATCAAAAAGTGATTAACTAATAAAATGTTGCTGATATTATGATAAACATTTTATTAGTTGAAATATTTTCTAGCTACAGTAGTTCTTGAGATATGCGCCTTTAAAGGAAACGCACACTTTTCACCGTGTTACAATGCGCTAATTTTAAAGACGCATATCTCAAAAACTACTGTAGTTAGAAAACATTTGTCGACTAATAAAATATCAATGATACAATGACATACATTTAAATAGTTGACAACTTTTTGATATCTTATAAAGGAATAGAGATAATCGAGCTGAAAGTGCAAGCATAATAGCGCCGACCGCCCATGTCGCCTGTAGCGGCCCGTACTTTGAGCTTATCTCGGTTCTTGTTGATGATTTCAAAAAATAGTCAACTGTCAAAATGTTTATCTTAACATCAGCAACATTTTATTAGTTGGCAACTTTTTGATATTTTTCAAAAGAAGTGAGATAAATAGGCTCAAAGTGGAAGGCCCGGATGGTGTTCTATTAGAGTGTTTACGGTATTTTTTAAAAATCAAAAAATTACAGTTATAAATACCAGAGAAATGAGATAATTTCAGAATAAAAGAGCCAATCATTGTCTATCCCTGACGGAAATGGTATGGAATCGTTCATGCCAAACTACAAAGAAATACGCACTTCCAATTATGGCAACTGTTGCCAATAAACCGTCCGGTCTTTCGATATCAGTTCCGTGTTGACAATCCACAACCCGCTCGGTGACAGAATCTTTTGGACAGCTGGAAAAAATACAAATAGTTGATCTGTTTAATACTCAAACCAAAAGGTGTTTACTTGCCCTACACGATCAAGCTTGAGCTCATTACCGTATTTTCCTTTAGTAGAAGCCCATGGGCTTCTATTAGGGAAAATACCGTAATCCAAAATTCCAGAAGTCTCGGAACTTCTGAACTTCTCAGAACTTCATAAATCTCCAAAACACTGAATATCAGAAGTTTTATCTTCCGAATTGTCGAATTTCTGAACTTCTGAATAAAACATTTTTGGGAACAAATCATTGAAAAATAGAAGCCCACTCTCTAATCGAAGCCCACCCTGAGAACGAGGTTGAAAAATAGAGGCCCGTGAGCTTCTATTAGAGGGAATACGGTATCTCGGTTCCTGTCAATGATACTAAAAATGTGTCAATTAATAAAATATTGGTGATATTTTGATAACAAATTTGTCAGTTGACAAGTTTTTTCTATCTTTCACAGGAACTGAGATAAATTAGGTCAAAGTGCGCGCTGCTACTGAGCTACGCTGTGAGCACCGCTGGCTGTACCACCCTTACTTTTTGACTTAAATTATCTCGTTTTCTGTGAAAGATATCAAAAAGTAGTCAACTGATAAAATGTTCATCATAAAAACAAAAATACTTTATCAGGTGATTACTTTTTGATATCTTTTATAGGAACCGAGATAAGTTAGCTATAATTTAGAAGGGTCATATTATGGTACCCAATTGGCTCAAAGTTCAAAATAAGGGAAATAAGGGGAAGCCTAATCCTATTGGAATCCACACTTACAGGAAGTGTTGGCTCCGCTCGAATCGTTGCCATTTCCTTGGCTTCAACCCCTCCAAATTCATCTCTTCCGTCGTATTCGACGCCAACACTTTGACCATTCGAAGATCGCGCGCATCCGAATAGTACCATTGTCTGACGCACGTCTCTAGATCCGAGAGTGTTGCCAGTGAATCGATTAGAATGATCACTTCACAGTTTCGCCTTTTCAGAACGTGCTGGAAACAGCATTTCGTGTATGTTGATCCCTTTCCATTTCGACACACTTCGAATTTGTGTGTGGCATGAATCGATCGAGTCACCCAGTCGATCTCGATTTCAGAGAGACGTTTTCTTTGGAACGATACGAAATAGTCTCTGCATTCTTTGATTGTTGGCAGAACTGGTTCCAAACATTTGAACTCTGATGTATTCAGTTCAAATACTAATTTCCGGAAACGAACTCCTCCGAACGTGTTTTTCATGTGTCTAATGAACATGGCAAGCGCTTCAGATGTAAGTTCTCTGGTGAGCACTCTGAAAATTGAGATTTTTAGATTTAGATCTCAATTATCTCGGTTCCTAAAAAAGATATCAAAAAATGGTCAACTAATGAAATATAGTTGATATTATGATAGACAGTTTATCAGTTGACTACTTTTTGATACATCTTACAGGAACCGAGATAATAAAGCTCAAAGTGCAAGTGGTGGCGCAGCCAATGGCGCCGACCGCGAGTAGCGGTCCATTTTTTGAGCTCAAATATCTCGTTTTCTGTGAAAGATATCAAAAAGTGGTAAACTGGTAAAATATTACTGATATTATGATAAACATTTTGACTGTTGATTAATTTTTTATGTCTTCAACAAGAACCGAGATACATAGGCTCAAAGCACTGACCGTTACATGCGACATGGGCGGTCAGCGCTATTATGCTTTCACTTTGAGCTCGATTATCTCAATTCCTTTATGAGATATCAAAAAGTTGTCAACTATTAAAATGTTTGTCATACTATCATTGATATTTTATTAGTCGACAATTTTTTTTATCTACAGTAGTTTTTGAGATATGGGCCTTTAAAGTTAGCGCATTGTAAAACGGTGAAAAGTGCGCATTAACTTTAAAGACGCATATCTCAAGACCTACTGTAGCTCAAAAAAATTTGTTAGTAAAGAAAATGTTGGTTTTATTATGACAAACATTTTATTAGTTAACAAGTTTTTCATATCTCTTATAGAAACCGAGATAATTTATCTCAAAGAGGAATCATAGACTGGCTGTTTAATGGAACGTTCAAGGTACAATGTTCCGAGCATTTTTTTAGCAAGGCTATTTCTTCCAAAATACCGTTAAACCTATATTAGAAGCGACCCTTTAATAGAGGGGCCCTCCGAGAGAAGCTAGGAAAAATAGAAGAGTCCCCTGTAATTGAAGGGCCCCCGTAATAGGAGGGCCCTCCGGAGGAACCTTGATTGGAACAATAAAAGGGCCGGCCCTTCTAATACAGGTTTTACGGTAGTTCAGACTTTCGAAAAAAACTCACTTAACAATTCGTCGTGGTCTCTTAATGATCACAATCTCGATTCCATTCATGTTCCGAGCCTTCACCTTGCTCTCCGGTTTCAAATGCCCAAACTGGATTTCCCATCTGTCCCACGAACTTCCTTCGTCTGGTATACAGGTCAAAACAGCCCGTTTTGGTACAAAATCCAGGTCAAATAACGGATTTTCAATTGCAACACCAGGAATCGTGCTGACGGCAACCGCATGTTCGTGGGATTGGCACGAGAAGATGAGTCTGGAATTGTTAAAAAGATTGAGAGGCAGAATTTAAATTTAAAGGGGGAGGGCATAAAAATATAATTTTTTGGAAGCTCCTCGAGGAGTTCAACTTGCGGGCCCACCGATAGAGGTGCCTACTAACTGAGCAGTCTCCCTCAAACTCAAATTATCCAAAATGATCTCTAATTGCCTAATTACAATGGCACAACTAACCGCCATCTGCACAGTTAATCTTCCATTACCGTAAGATTCTTTTTGGGCCTGCATCCTTTTTTGAACCTACCGGTGGGATTAACCGATTCTATCTTAATGAGCGAGATTTCACCTCAATTATCTCGGGGGTCGGGTTTTCTGGGGTACTGTTCACCTAACTGTCAACTTTGCTCCAATTTATCTCGTTTTTCTTGAAAGATATCAAAAGTTGTCAACTGAACTGTTCATCATACAATTAAAAACATTTTATCAGATTTACACTTTTTTCTAGCTACAGTAGTTTCTGAGATATGCGCCTTTAAAGTTAGCACACCAATGAAAAGTGCGTGCTAGCTTTAAGCGCACATATCTCAAAAACTACTGTAGCTAGAAAAAAGTTGTCAACTAACAAAATATTGATAATTTTATGACAAACTTTTTATTAGTTGACAACTTTTGTTATCAATCACGGGAACCGAGGTAAATTAGGTCAAAGGCCAGCGCAACCGCGTAGCTGAGCAGGAAACCTCTTCAGAGTTTTTCTTTTTGAAATATAAACTTTGAAATAAAAACTCACAGCTCAGAAACATTCATCTTTCTCACTTCAGCTTTCAGTTGATTGAGTGGGAGATCGAGAGAAGGGAACATCCTTTGAGACATTTTAATAACTTCTGAAAACTGATGGGACATTAATAAGCTGTAAAAAGAGCAGAACAACTAGTTCAAGCCTTCTCACAATTTTAAAACCATCAGATCGAAACATGACAATTTTGAAATTTTCGAATCCCATTTTCACATAAACTTTTCCAAACACCTGTGAAATTATTTAAATCATTGAAAAAAGGAAAAAAACTCCAAACGCGTATACTAGGGTGCATAGTGGTTGCAACATAAACGGCAAGAGAGGTAGAGACATTGGTTTAAAAGCACAGACGAGGTCGTGGAAGGAGAGGGAAGATAGTGGAGAAATTGTGTACGTATGGGGGAGACGGTCAGACGGTCAGAGGGAATTGCACTGGTCAATACGAACGAGGGAAGTGGTGGTTGGGTGCCTTTCGCTCTCTGTCTTGGCAACATTTCTCTGTCTTTATTGTTTACTGGCAGCAGCTAGGGTGAAGAAGGATAGGTTAGAGGAGGAGGAGGCTGTGTAGCTTCACGACATTTTGCGCTAGAGACGTTTCGTAACCATGATGATTCGCACCTCTGGGCATCCTAAACTTTGAGTCAATTTATGTCGGTTCTTGTAAGAGATATAAAAAAGTTGTCAACTAATAAAATGTTTATTTTATTATTAACGTTTAATCAGTTGACAACATTTTGATATCTTTCATAGGAATTCAGATAATTGAGCTCAAAGTGCAAGCATAGTGGTGGCGCAGCCAACGGCGCCGACCGCGTAGCGTCCCGTGCTTTGAGCTCAATTATCTCAATGCCTGTAATAGATATTAAAAAGTTGCCCACTGATAAAATGTTAATGATAAAATGACAAAAACATTGTTAGTTGACCAACATTCGATATCTTCTACAGGGACCGAGAAAAAATGACTTAAAGTTGGAGAAGCTAGATTTTAGGGTATGTGGTACTACCAGCTGAGCTACGGAGTCGCAAATCTAATTCAATATCCTTTAAACCATTAAAAAACCCCTTAGCACAAAATGACATAATAAAAAAATACAAAAAATTAGTTGTGTTCAGTATCTTCAATATCTTCTTCTTCAGTGTCTTCAGAATCCTCATTTCCATCATCCTCGCCTCCAGAATCAAGGCCATTATCTTTCAATTTGTCTTCAGAGGAAACTTCTCATGCCAATAGTCATCTCCCTGAAGAAACGAAGCGATCAATCCATCGATAAAATGGGACCCATCATGGATTTCTTCGGGGTTTAGAGCATTCCTGAAAAAAAACTATTTTGTAATAAACCTTTCTAACAAAAAAAAGTTCTACCGTATTTGCTCGAATAGAAGATCACCCAGTTTTGCCGAAAATCGGAAATTTTTAAGCTCAATTATCTCGGTTTCTATAAGAGATATTAAAAACTTGTTATCTAATAAAATGTTCGGCATAATAAAACTGACATTTTATCAATTAACAAATTTTTTCAAGCTACAGTAGTATCTGAGATATGCGTCTTTAAAGTGATTTATAAATTTTGTTTTGTTTTAATATAGCATCTGTGTCGTAGATATCTCAAGAGATACTTTATTATTTCAATATTTCTGTCTACCGCCACCTACTATACGAAATTTGAACCCAAAACAATAATTATCACAAGCATTCCTTTTTTGGAACATCTAGAGAGCTCCTTCGCTTTTTTGGCTCAATTTGGAGTATTTCTATCAAAAACGTATACCGTATAATGTCACTCCTCAACTTGCACTTACTTTCAGCTTGATTATCTCGCTTGCTATGTGAGATAGCAAAAATGTGTCAACTGCTGAAATGTTTATGATATTATCAGCTATGTTTTATCAGTTGACAAATTTCTGAGTTTTTTGAGCTGAATTTTCTCAATCCCTGTAAAAGATATCAAAAAGCAGTCATCTGATAACTGTTTATCATAATATCAGTTACACTTTGTTAGTTGTCCACTTTTTGATATCTCTTATAGGAACCAAGATAATTAAGATCAAGTGCAATGCTTTCTAGGAAATTATCTTTTCAATTTCTCCAGGGATTATACAGTTTGTTTTTGCTATTAGCTACTACTGTATAAAATCAATTTTTCAGCATTAAAAAATCCTCTTATTGCACCTATTTTGTAGAAAGCAAATTTCAAATTTCTTAACTCGATTTTTGTGATTTTCCAGAAAATAATGATGAACTCTACCAGTCATCTTATCCGTCTCCAGAAGCAATTCTTCATTCTCTCCATCACAATTTTCAACCTCGCTCTAGCGCTAATTCTCACTTATCAAACTTTTGGAACTAATTTGATGTTCGTTTTCATCGCTAGTTGATTCTTCACTCTATTCCTTCATTGTATGACTGGCTACGCAGATAAAAATAAGAGTTGGACATTTTTAAGAAATGCTGAAATCACGGCAAAAATTCGGGGGTACAAGGGGGTACAACTGATTTAGGGGTACAAAATTGGTGATTCGGGGGTACAAAATTCGTGGGTACAAATATTCGGGGGTACAACGATTCGGCGGTACAAACTATCAATGATTCTGGGGTACAACCCATTTCATTTAGGGGTACAACGCTTGTGATTCGGGGGTACAATTTTTTTGACGAAGTTTCTGAATTCCTGTATTTCAGAGCTTGAAAATCTCAGAATTCTTAGAATTTCAGAATTTTGGAATTCCAGTATTTCGGAATCTGAAAATTTCGGAACTTCAAAATCTGAGAATCTGAGAACTTCGGAATTTCAGAATCTGAGAATTTCAGAATTTCAGAACTCCAGAATTTCAGTATTTCGGAATCTGAAAATTTCGGATCTTCAGAATCTGAGAATCTGAAAATTTCCGAATTTCAGAATCTCAGGACTTCAGAACTTCGAAATCTCAGAATTTCAGAACTTCAAAATTTCAGAATTTCAGAACTTTGGAATTCCAGAATTCGGAATCTGAGAATTTTGGAACTTCAGGATCTGAGAATCTGAAAATTTCAGAACTTTGGAATTTCAGTGTTTCGGCATCTGGGAATTTAGGACGACAGAAATTTTTCACTTCTCATTGTCACATTGTTTTTTTTTGAAAATGGAGAACTGTAAAATAAGCTTGACAAGTTTTACAAACTCAGGTTTTTAATGCTTAATCTAGTATTAAAACCCAGCCGATACTTTCCTCAATACCAATTTTTCTCAATTCTATTTCATTTCTCTTTGTTTCTCAACCAGTCGATTTCGGCCGCCTGTCGGCGGCTACAATCTCCTGGCTACACTTAAAACGTTCGAATCTCAAAACTTGAGGAAATAAAAGAAGAAGTTTTGATTGAATGTGAAAAATTGTTAACTTTCTAGTTTTTTTCCTCCCGAATTTTCAAATTTTCAAATGTCGGTTTGCGCCCCTCCGGGCTAAACCTACTGGCCTCTGCTAACAATAACTTGCCACTCCAAAAAGAGATTTCAATACCTTTTCTCAGAGATTTTTTCTAGCTCCAAAATCGGAAAATTCTAGACTTCGACATTCAGAGTTTCTGAAAACCTAAATTAGGAAACGCGGAATGCGGTAATTTCGGAGTTTATCAACTCGGAAATTAAGATATTCAGAATTTTGGGAATCAGTCGCTGCCCTGGGGCTCAATCTTCTGGCTTCCGCATACTGTATCTTACAATTCAATTTCTAAATTTCCGATTTTCCTAAGTCACAAAAATTCCTTAATATTTAATTTTCCAAATTTTCAAAGTTTCGAAACTACTTATGACTGAGATCTATAAGTTCTGAAATTCGGAATGAATGGTTTTCCGGTTTCCTAAAGTTCCAAATGTTTCGATATCTAAGTTTCAGAATTTTTGTATTTCCTGGTTTCCGAAAGTTCCGAATTTCGAAAAATTCTTGAATTAACAAAGACAGTCGATTTGCGTCCCTCCGGGGCTGGACCACCTGGCTCCCGCTTACATTGCGTTATCTTTTAGTGAGGGCTTGTCAATTTTTCGAAAATCTGACCGTCTGGAATTTGGAAAATTAGTATTAGGTTGTTCGAAAAGTAATGGGCGTTTAGTGCGAACTACTTCGACTTCCAGTTATCTTAGTTCCTGAAGAGGTCTTTGAGTATGTGTTGTTGGAAATTGGTAGATGATGATGGAGAAAAGCCCCTTCATTAATCTTATCTTGTTCCAGTTCTGCATTAAGTTAAAATGAGTCAAAAACGCGCATTACTTTTTGAACAACTTAATATTTCCGATTTCCAGGAATTCGAAAATTCTTAATTTCGCTTAATGAACGACTGGACATCTCCCGCTTATAATGCCCATAATCATGCAAAAAAGTACCAAATTAGATCACCTTTTTTGCGTTTAAATCTTGAAAATTGTTTTTGATTCCCCGATAAATGCAAAATATGCCGTTATGTACGGTGTGTCGGATTTTTGAGTTTTCTCCCCCTAATTAGTACCTTTGGGGTTCAAAATTTGGTCAAAATGCGACCAATTTGGTAAAAATGCCAAAATTGAATTATCAGGGAAACAATTTTTTTCGAGATCAAAATTATATTTTACAAAATTTCAGATAGTCAAAAATAATAAAACTTGGTTTTAGAATTTTTAGAATTTGATTTTTTTGGTCCCCCGCACAAACCGCCTACCATGATAACAAAATATCATGATTTTTTCAGCCAAAAAGTATATTTAAAAAACCACTATACATATTCTTTTGCGACACTTGAAGATAACGGAAATAATAATGATACCCGTCGAGAATTGTGTTGTCTTGACAACAAGCTCTCATTTTCAGCAGATTTTCAGAATCTATACTATTATTCCTAAATTCGCTGAAGTCTATCCCAAGAGCTACTAAAAGGATACTCTTAGATTCCTTGAAATCCCCGAACTCGAAAAAATGCTTATCCCATGCTTCCTCTTAATTTTTACCTATTTCATCGTTTGGAACTATTCGAGAAGGTGTATGAAAAAGCGAAAATGTAGCAGAGATCAAGTTGTTTATCTGAAACTATTTGCAACTGTATCAGCTTTCTCGTTGCATGGAGTTGTGCTTCTTTGGCAAGAGTTTTTTGCAACTATGGTATGTTAACTTAGACCTAATTTGTCTCGGTTTCTGTACAAGATACCAAAAAGTTATTAATTGATAAAATGTTTAGTATCTTATGACAATGATTTTGTTAGTTGACCGCTTTTTGATATCTTTTACAGGAAGCGAGATAAATTGCATCAAAGTTAAAGAGGTCGCCGCAACCGCATAGCTAATAGTAAGCTTAAACCGTAGTTTACCTTTGACCCAATTTATCTCGGTTTTTGTAAGAGGTATCAAAAAGTGTTCAACTAGTAAAATGTTTGGGATGTTATGGTAAACGTTTTGTTTGTTGAACACTTTTTTATATCTTCTACAGAAAACCAGATAAATTAAATCAAAGTTAAATATAGGCGGAAAAACAGCGTAGTTAAGGCTAAACCGTAGCTATGCTTTGACCTAATTTATCTTGGTCCCTGTAAAAGATATTAAAAAGTTGTCAATTAATAAAATATTCAGTATTTTATGAAAATCATTTTGTTTGTTGACAACTATTTTTTATCTCCTACAGGAAACGAGATAAATTGGATCAAAGTTAAAGCAGTCTCATTTTCCAGGTGTTCCTTCCCATCTGCTACATCATCACATTCCTTATCATTCCTTGCTTGATTATATTTTTTCAAGGCCTATCTCACCAAAGTTCTCGTTACTGTATCCAACCGGAGCCCGATCGACTCATCAACAAAATCCTCCCCCTTGCAATTGTGCTCTACGCAACTCTAGACTTTTTTCCAACCCACGAAGCGAATTGTGAAATTGGAGAATATTCAGACAACTGTAAATTGTTCTTTAAACATATTCCTTTGATTTTATTCGGTGTCAAATCCCTAGGGCTGTGGGTTGCCGCTGGATTTATCGATTATTGGATGGCAAAGAAATTAGATATTATGTCGAATGGAAAGCTGATTGGGCGACTGATCAATAATGGAAGAGGAGAGTGGGAGCAGCAGATTCCAGTCTGGGAGGATGATGATTGACGAATACGAATGCGCTCTATTGGACTGTTTTCAATATTAGCGCCGCTTCAAACAGGTGGCTGGTGCACCTTTGGCGCGATTTAACCTATTTATTTTACTGTTCGATTTTTCTTTTTCATAAGGTCACGTCAAGTTACCTGTATTAGAAGGGCCAGTCCTTCTATTTATCCAAGAGACCTCCGGAGGGCCCTTCTATTTTTCCAATCATTTTTTCTGAATTTTTCCATCGAAAATCTCGACAAACTTTTTTTCGAAATTCGTTAAATTTTGTCAGTTTCACCAAAATTGAGCTATTTTCTCATTTGAAAAAAGGTTTAACAAAATTCAATTGAATTGTGAAATTCGCGGAATATTTTTCACTGAAAACGTACGGAAATGTTTTAATTTCAAGACAAATTTTGGAGAGGTTCGAAGATTTTTTCCAGATTTTGGAACTTTTAGAAACATTTCCGTAAAGTACATGATTTTTGAAATGTTTGGATTTTTGAGCTTTCAAACCTTCGAATTTATTGTAATTTCGAGTTTCTGGAAGCTCTTAGTACCATAAAATTTTTGGAATCATAGAATTCATTGAAATCAGGAATACAACAGTTTTTTCAAACTTTATATTACCCTTTCGTAGCTTTTTCTGCAAAAACCAAAATAATAAAATTTCCGATTCCCGAAATATAAAATCTCCCTCCCCACACCTTCGTTTTCGATTTTTCATAGTTCCTATGCCCCCAATCATATAAATAACGTACAATTCTTCTAGAAGTCTACAGTGCCGATAAACAAATTGATTCATAAGTTGGAAAGTTTTGGGATATCTCCCAAACTAAGAAATTGGCTTCATTCATTTGTCACGGAAAGAAAATTTCAAGTCAAAATCAATGATATACTATCGAAGGAGAGGCGCGTATTGTCCGGAGTCCCGCAGGGCTCTGTTCTTGGGCCTACCCTCTTCATGTTATATATTAATTGTATTGGTGACAAATTTCAAAGTGACTATCTACTGTTTGCAGATGACTTGAAAATTTATGATTCGAATGATAAATTGATTGATGCAGATTTAATTGAATTGGAGAATTGGTGCTCGAAGTGGAAAATGAAAGCGGCTCCTAAAAAGTGCGAATACATCAAATTCAATGCAACAAGAAAATATGCCAACTCTAATGTTATGAATCCCAAATTAAATCAAGCTTTGATTCCCCCTGTGGAAAATTTCCGTGATCTTGGGATCTACTTTTCCAGTAACCTGAGTTTCCATTATCATTATTCGTTGATTATTCGGAAATCACATCAGAGGATCAACATGTTCTTTTCCATTCTAAAAAACGTATCGTGGAGTGTTTTTATAAAATGCTATACAATTTACATACGCCCTTTACTCGAATATGGAACGATAGTCACTTCTCCAATCTTAAAGGAATAATATTATAAAATTGGAATCGGTGCAAAAGTCATTTGTTTTCAGAATTTTCAGAAAATTCAGGATGACATACACTTCATACTTTGAAGCACTGGAAGAATGTCAGCTAAGTTCCTTGGAGAATCGCAGGCTCTATAATGATTAGGTCTACACGTATAAAATTATTGTTTCCAAAGAAATTATCATGGAGGTTCCAATTTTCGAAATATTTAATAATGCTGAATCATTGCGACGTCACAAATACTATCTCAAATCACTTATCAAAAACTCAACAAAAATATCTTCTCAATTTCTCTCTAATAGAGTAATCAGATGTTGGAACTCTTTACCCGCCAAAGTGTTTCCGGTGAAGCCCTCGTCAGCGGCTTTCAAAAATCGACTATTATCCTGTAATCTAAAACATTTTCTTGTCTTGAATTCAACTAATTACTAACTCGGTTTTTCCTTCATCTCCCAATTACTACAAATGTATGTCCCTGTTATATCTCCTAGTTTCATAGACATTTCACGTGTTAGTGGTTTTCTCCCCTTCGTTGAAATAAATAAATAAATAAATAAATATCAGTCTTTCTCTAGCACCCTCTGATTCACTTTCCCATTCATTACCATATCCCATTGTTTGTTTTCTTTCTAGTACTATGAAATTTAGCTTTTTCTCTTTCTCCCTCTTTTCAAAAAAAGAAGAATCATTTACAATTCAAATAAATATGTGTCATTTGTCCCCTCTCTATCAATGATAATGATGGTTTTTAGATGAGTTACAGTAATCAATGGTTACAGTAACCCGCGACGAACCAGTAAAGAAATTAGATCAAATCGCGCCGAAGTCGCGCCAGCCAGCTGTTTGAAGCGCCGAAAGTGCTGCAAACTGATGGATAGTTTGAAATAAACCTTCAGAAAAATCTGAAATTCTTTAAAACCCATTTTGTCTTCACGGATTCTCTTCAAATTGAACTAAACTAATAGTAAACTACAAATTCAAATTTAGGATCCGCCCACTTTTCCGGAACATACATTCTTTAGAATGTGTCATAACATTTCTGTTTTGACAAGTAAATGAGACACCAAACATCTAGATAAAAGTGGGCGGAGCCTAGAAAGCTGCGAGGGGCAATAGCGAGGACAGATGTTCCTATTACTCATTTTTGCAATCATTTCGAAATTTCTGTGTTGTTTAAAAAGTTTGAAAGCTAGCTAGTCATTCAGGAATTGTTCTAGATTTTGGGAATATCTGAATTTTCGGAATATTTATTTTTTTTCCAAAATTTGTGATAGATTCAGAACTTGAGCCTTTTTGAACCTAGAATTGAGCAGATTCCAAAATTTTTGATGGCGAGCCTATGAATTTTCAATTGCTCAGAATTTTACCGGGGTTTTTTTGGATTATTTTCTCCATTCCTCAATCGTCTGCTTTTCAGAATATGTCGATCGCCAGACGAGTGTTCACATACATTTTCCCCAACGACCCAAATCTTGACAAGGACCAAATTTTCCTCCATAATGTCCTTTGGGATGGCTTTTGTTCATTTGCTTATTATCTGTTAATATTTATGTTGCTGAAAACATATCATGTGGCTGTTCGCCAGTCATTGGCAGAAATCCAAAGACTGAGAATGTACTTCTTGATGTCTCTCATTCTTAGCGTCCGTTTCCTCTTCTCACACAATTTCGATTTTGAGATTCTGGTAAGTTTTTATTTGGGGGTTTTTTTTAAATTTGGTTCAAAGGTGGGGCCCTTCGAAAAGTTGAACTTGTGGGCCCACCGGTAGAGGTGTCTCTAATAGAGCCGCGCCAGGGCCGTCACCTTTGACCCTAATTATCTCAGTTCCTGTTAAAGATGTCAAAAAGTGGTCAACTGATATAATATTTATCATAATATGACACACATTTTCTTAGTTGACAAATTTTTTCTAGCTACAGTAGATTGTGAGATATGCTATTTTAAAGTTGGTGGCGCACCTTGAAGCGGTGGAAACTGCGCGCTAACTTTGAAGACGCATAAATCAAAAACTATTGCAGCTAGGAAAACTTATCAATTATTAAAATCTTGATGATATTGTGAAAAATATTTAATCAGTGGACATGTGGTTTATATCTTTTATAGGAATTGAGATATATTTAGTCAAAGTTGACGACTATCACAAATTTCAAAGAACGTTATTTTTTAATCCTGGCTCGAAGTGTACAAAAATTTTGGGGTCATTGGACCGCAAAATCCTCAATTTAAGAGTACAAAATACATTAAATTGTTGAATGCCTAAAATCTTGTTCTCAAGAGTTGGCCCAACTTCCAAAGGAATGCCCCCTGATTTTCAGAGGAAAATCTGCCCAATGACCACATCTCTCAACTCCCTTGCCTCCATCCACCTTGTCGCTTGGCCCCATTCCCTCTTGCTCCTATATCACCTCTCCCAGCAATGTTATCTGTATGAAATCTATCCATCCAACTACTTCACTGGAATACCACAAAAATTGATCTACACTTGTTTCTTCACCTGGGCCGCTTATTCAGCATGGCATGCTCCTCAAGGATCGTGCCCCAACGAATTGGTGTCGTTGGAAATGTGCAAATCGGTGTATGATGTTGTATTTTTGCTGCGAATCGTTGTGATTGGAGTCTTCTTGAGCTACTCGGAATATATGATGATCATCGCTTGCGCTGACAGTTTTGATATCTATTCTTTTGGAGAGTACGTTGGAAAGCGAGAGTGGAAGGATAACCGTTGGGTTGAGACTAGAACTGACCAGGACAGAAGACGCTAAATGGTAAGTACGCTCTATTGAGAATACTGGGAAACCTGTAACATAAGGGCCTCCACACTTTCAGGTTTAAGCTCAATTATCTCGATTTCAACGCAAGCTTTCAAAAAGTGGTAAACTGATAAAATGTTTCTGACATTATGATGATCAATTTATCAGTTGAAAGCTTTTTGATATCTTTTACAAGAATCGAGATAATTGAGCTCAAAGTTAAGCAGCCCTTGTATTACAGGTTTTTTGGTATGTAAAATAAAGATTGAAAGAATTCGTAGTTTTAACAGGAAAAATGGACACTGGTTCAAATTTTTCGGAGTTTTAGAATTTCCAAATTTTTAAAATTCGAAATTCTAGAATTTTTCAAATTTCGGAATTTTCGATTTTCCGAATTTCGGAACTTCAGGCTGTTAAAAGTTTTTTTCAACAAAAAAAATTCAAAAATTGCTCAAAAATCGTTAAAAGGGTCCCAAAAATTCTAGGCCACGGCCATCGGAATTTTTCAATTTTTCATTTTTAATTTCACAATTAAAACAACAAATTATCATTTTAAAACCTAGAAAAACCGAGAGAACAAAAAATTGGTGGCCATGGACTAGGAAATTTGGCGACCGCTTTTTAGGTCATTTCAAAATTTTAAATTTTTGAAATTTCGTTAAAAAATTGAAAAAAAAATCAAACTTGAGAATATTTCAAAATTATTTAGATCGAAAAATCAATTTCGATTTTCAGACATTTCTTGGACCAACTACAAACTACAACCTCCGGATTACTGTAACTCGCTTTTTCTCTTTTTCTTCTAAATTCAATTTTCAAAAACTTCCCAATTACTATACGACGCAACATCATAGAAGGCCTGTATCACTGTCCCGGATCTTTGTCTCTATTTCTCTCGATGTCTCTGCGTCTCTCACCACCCCCACACTCTCTCGCCTCTTCTGATTTCTATCTCTGTGTCCTTGACCGCAATATCCCCATCTATCTACAAAGCATTCTATGTTATTTTCTCGAGAATAAATTTCTTTTTTTTTTATTTTTTGTCTTTTAAGATTTCTAGAAGATTCTCGAAACTTCCAGGTAAAAATGTCCGTTTTAATCACTGGAGGAGTGTCCAAAGTGTCTGTCAAACTGGCCGAAGAGCTAATGAAAAATGGACGAAACGTTGTTTTCCTTCACAATGGGACTAATGACTCGGTAAGTTTTTTCACCAAAAATCTGACATAAAATTCGAGTTCCCCATAATTGATTTAGTCTACCCTGAAGTTTTCAGGCGATAAGTGCAAAGTGTCGTAAGGTTCGGTGTACTTTTAGACCGTGTTCACAGACCAAGCACCACACCTTACGAAACTTCACACTAAAGCTTTGAAATTTATAGGGCAGACCAAATCAACTATGGGAAACTCAAATCCAATGTCAGAATTTGTCAACTTTGACTTTTAAAAGTGCTAATTGTTAATTACGTTATTTAAGATTCTGATAATCAAAATTCCAAGTTTAGGTTCGAGCTCCCCATAGTCTATTTAGTCTACTCTACAATTTTCAGCCCTCTAATGCATAGTGTCGTAAGGTTCGGTGTTTCTGTAGACAGTGTTTGCACAAGATGCATCTAGCTTTACGACACTTTGCACTAGAGCTCTGAAACTTTTAGGCTGGACTAAATCGACTATGGGGAACTTGAATCTAATGTTAGAATTCGTCAATTTTGACTTTAAAATCTTCAAAGGTCTGAATCGGATCGAAGGAGTGAAAATCTGAGCTTAGATTCAAGTTGCCCGTACCTGATTTGGTCTATCCTGAAATTTTCAGACAATAAGTACAAAGTGTCGGTAAGTTCGGTGTTTCTGTAGACAGTGTTTGCACACCAAACACCACAACTTGCGACACTTTGCACTAAAGCTTCGAAACTTACAGTGCAGAGTAAATCGACTATGCGGATTCCGAATTTAGTGTTAGAGTTTGCTAATTTCGACTCTGATATGGCCTATTATAGACAATGTTTGCACACCAAACATCACACCTTACGACACTTCGCACTAGAGTTCTTAAGACTTCAGAATAGATGTAAAAGAACATGGGAAATCCGAATTATTAATTGGTTTTTAAAGATTTGAAGTTTGAATCCCCGATTATTTTCAGATTTCCGAGTCGGTTCTGAAAAATGAGAAGTTCTCATTGGTGAACTTGTCTTCTGTCAACGAGGATGCGATTAAGGAACTGATTGAGACGAAGAACATCCAAACTGTGTTTGATGGATCTTTGACGACTTCAGACGTACTTCTGGCACCACTTCCAGGAGCCAAGACCTTGATTTTGGTGAGAACTTTTCGAATTTGTAGTTTGGGGTCTTGGGCAAGAATTGGTCAAGTTATGGCCAAAGTTCAAGAAGTTTAAAACAATTTTTCGGGAATATGGACTAAAACTCTCCCAGAGATGCCCTAAATTGTCATAATTGGATAGAGTCGCTTTTGAACCAGATTACAACTAAACCATTTCTAGGGCATCACCTCCATCCTCGACGCCATGCGTAAATCCACGTCACCACCGTCTTTGGTTCTAATCAGTGGTGAGGAGATATATGGTACCAACAATCGTGTCGAGACTCAACCATTGGAACCCACATGTTTCGTTGGTGCCGCTCAAATGTCCGTCGAAGCGATGGTCCACAGCTACGCCGTCTCCTACCGTATCCCAATTGTTATTGGAAGATTGCCACGTGTTTTGGTGGATTCTCAAGGCGAATTGGAGATGTACCGAAAGAATTCAAAGGACTTCCAAAATATTCTTTCGTTGTCTGATGCTGTTCAGGGATTGCTAAGCATTGAAAAGCTAGCGCATAGTCAGAAACCAGCGGAAGTGTTCAATATTTCAAATTCTGTGGAGTTGAATGCATCGGAATCTAGAAAATCGACTATGGAGAACTCGAAAATCTTGTTTTCGACTTCTTGGAAGCCATCTGGTTTGTCGACGCTGTCGTCAGAATCTAGTGAAAAGAATCTGGAAATCCCACCGGTGTTCTTGGTTTTCGGAGCCAACTCGGAGCTCAAAAAGGAATTCTTCGTGCTTGTGAAATCTGCGAAATTCGTTGCAAAGGTAATTTTTTGAATTTGGAAACCAAATTTCGAATTCCTCGCCCTTTTAGGATTCCAACATCATCTATCTTCGAGAAGCATCCGACAAAATTGTCATTGAGGAGATCAACACCGTCAAACCATCGCATTTGGTCTACTTTGGGGAGGAAACCGGTAAGCGGTTCGAAAATTAAAAAAAGAACATCAGCTTCAAGTTCCACATAGTCGACTTGATTTACCCTAAAATTTTCAGAGCTCTAAAAAACTGTCGTAAAGTTCGGTGTTACTGTATGACCGTGTTTACACAATGCATCATACTTTACGACACTTTGCACCAGAGCTTTGAAAATTTCAGGGTAGACTAAATTGACTATGAGGAGCTAAAATCTAAGCTCAGAATTTTGACAATTTAAATTCGAATCCCCCGAAAACGTCCTTTCAGATTCAGATTGTCAATTTTGACTGTAAATTGTCTTAAAAATCGCGTTTGGGTTATTCGAAATCAAACTATCTAAATTCCAAGCTCAGCTTCGAGTAATTGATTCAGTCAAACAAAAATTTTTCAGACGATTAGTGCATAGTGTCGTAAGGTTTGGTGTTGCTGTAGTCAGTGTTTGCACACCAAACACTACTACTGACGACACTTCGCGCTAGAGCTTTAGAGCTCGAATGTGATAGTAAAACCAAATAAAATTATTCAGAATCCTTCGAAGGCGACTGCTTCACTCTACATACCAACATGGTCACCAACTTGTATTTCCCATGGCTGTTGGCCAGTCTCTCCGAAAAGAATGGACTTCATTTCACTCATTTTGGAAATACAGAAATCAGTCAGGAGACGTCAGCAATGGCTGTGAAGGGATACACTGGAAAAATGTTGGAATACTTCCAGAATACTCTCAGATTGGGAACCAAAATCGATGAGAGTACATTGGAGCTGATGAAGGCGAAGAAGACTGGAGGATTGAATAATAATTTTTGAACAATCTTTTGGGACCATTGATTTTCTGACTGCAGCAACTGGACTTCTGTGATACTTCTAATAAATTAAACTGGTCAAAATTCAAAACTTTATTAGGTTTATCAATTTTTCGAGATCAAATTCTCCTCAAACTCCTCCTCCATCTCTTCCCGATCCTCTTTGGAAATCAATTCGTATAAATTCCTCTTCAAAAACTTCCGAACACAGTAGGAATCTCCAAAATTGAACAAATACATCCTCATGTGTCCCACAAGTCGATTCTTATGAATTCCAAAGCGGAACTCCTTAATTATCGTCTTAATTAGTTCCATAAATTGAATTTGTTGAGGTTCTGACGGGCTGTGAACTTCCAGGCTCATTTGGCAGAACCTGATTCCTTTCCGCTCGAGACGTCCGGTTTTATGGAAAATGTCGAATAGTGGATACTCGGCTCCTTCGGCATCCAACCAAATGTTGTCGAAAGTCTGCAGGATATTCAAAGTTTAGATTTTGTAAATCTGAGCTTAGATTCGAGTTCCCCGTAGTCGATTTGGTCTACCTTGAAAATTTCAGCCCTCTAGCGC